AACCCCTTTGAGGCCTGAATTCAGGGCTTAGGTTTAGGGTTTAGGGTAATTTAGGGCTTCGGGTTTAGGGTTTAGGATAATTTAGGGATTAGGGTTTGCGGGCCTCAATTGAGGGCTAAGGGCTTAAGCGTTTAGGCTTTAGGCTTCGCGGTATTTTAGGGCTTAGAGTAGGTTTAGGGTTTGTTGTTTACAAATGCCCGTACCTCTAGGTCCTGACAGATACTGGACGATTTTGCAATCTTTGGCCTCAGCCCCAATCTCATAGCAATGTAGCACTCGCTTGATACATAGGGTACACCGGGCTTTCTGGTTTACTCAATGTATATAGGGCTCATATCTTTGTTCTCTACTCTGGCACGCAATGTTGTGGATTTGGATCTTTCATGATCTTTCTTGTAGGACTTCAGCTTACAGGTTCAGTTTCTGTTGGGAAAAAGCCTAATGGACAAGGTTGCGTAACATAGGAATCTAAGGGCCTTAATAATTAGAATAGGGCTTAGGGGATACATTGTATGATAACGATAGTAAGGAACCCCAAAACCCTATTCTAATTCTTAAGGCTCCTACATTACCAAGAACCACGAACACGATCTTCCAGGGAGCTCCACAGTATACTGCAGCGGGATTCTCGAACTCAGTGTCATCTTTCGAGTCATTGAACACTAGTTGCAGGTGTGCCACCGAAGGAAGACTGAAAGGAGTGCGCTTTGGCAATAATATACTCTAGGATGCCCAGTAGTACCCTTATTGCCTTTTTGTAGTCCTAGGTTCCTTATAAAGTTGCCCAATACCAAAAAGAGAGGCCTTTTTATTCTTAGGTTACTGGGTATCGTAGTACTAATAGACCGATATAATAACACATATTAATATGTTTATGCAAAACTGCTAGATAGATTACCCATAAACTGATCCAGACTATTGTCGGACCTCCCAGCACATGCCAGAAGCCTTCGCCGAGCCAAACGGTTCTGGGACCCTTACTGAGAGAATCAGGGGGGCTCAGCAAGTCGGTCGTAAGTAAGGTAATACCTTATAGAATACCCTCATATAGCCTTTTCGCATCTGCTTGAACACCCTTTAGCCGATAGCATACCTTTTAGAATAAACTCGATTTAGGGCACTTGTGTCCCGTACCCTACGTACGACAACCTACCGTTTGAAGTCCCCGAAGCCCTAAACTCTAAACCATTAAGTATGGCCGTCTGCCAAGTTGAAACCAGCACCCTACACCACAAACCTTAGCCCTATACCCTCAAGCCTCAGCCCCAAACCTTCTACCCTAAACCCGAAGCCCAACCCCTTAATCCCCAAACCCTACACCCTAACCCGAACCGTAACTTGAATTTTAGATCCTAAACCCCAAACCCCAAACTCTTCCGTCTACCCCCTTGACACTGAAGCCAAACCGCAAGGCATCACCGGGCGACATGCCCATTGTCGGAGCCGCACCTCGGGTGAGGGGCCTCGGTGGGGGGAAAGTATAAAGCCCAGAAGCTGCCCCCACCCTGTAATACTGTAATAGTGACTACAAGGATTATATAGGATTTTCTTAGGGCCCTATTGTATTCCTATTATACCACTATTACAGGGTGGGGGCAGCTTCTAACACATAGCCCAGATTTCTGAGGAGATCTATATGGGTAGTTGTCAAAATTAAGGTCCTTTTTTGGGTACCCGAAATAATAGGTGCCGTATTATTATAATAGGGACCCAAAAAGGGGCCATAATTTTGACAACACCATATAGATCAGCAGTTTAGAAAGTGCCCAAGCCGATACTTTCGGGAGGGAGATCCATACCAGCTTATCCTCATGTTTTATTGTTTAGATGCTTTTTTGGTTGTCCTTACCTGAAAATACAACTCCTTATTTGGTAACCTACCTCGACCCTCGAACGTAGTACCTTTTGTTAGGGTGTAACCTGTTTTTATGGTCGGGACCCTCTAGTGAGAATCTAAGGTCAACAAAAACAGTGCCACCTGCTAGGGTCTAGCTATACGACTCCTGGGGCTTTACACTTTTGGATTTTGGGATTCATGGTTCAGGGTCTCAAAGTTTCACGTGGCTCTTAGGGTAGGTCTATAGGGCTTGGGGGGGTTTAGGCCTCAGGCTTTCTAGGATTCAAGAGCTTTGCCTATGGGTCAAAGTACTCAGGCATATGCTGAGGCCTCTAAGGCAACGGGAGCTTTTGCCGATGTCTAAGCCCTAAACATCAGCTTGAACCGCAGTGCTTAGTGTTTGAGCTTCTTGGGCCCTTCGGACAACATTCACAAAGTTTGACCAACTCTGCAGCTATACAGCCCAAGTACATGTCCCGCTAGGTCGTAGTTATAGGTTATAAGAGCAGTCCAGTTGTAATCTCACTTTTCATTGACCCTATACCGTAAACTCTAAAGCCGAGTGTCGCGGGCTACTCGAAGTTTATTAATCCGTTGGATCCTCTCCCCCATTGGTCCATGTACTCATATAGTACATATGACCTGAAAGTAGTCCCTATATCGTTTCTTTGGAGTCAAGGTATATACTATTTGGGGACATGGACCCTTAGAGTTGGATCCTTTCTAAACATCACAGCTGTCCAAGAAGTAGTTGTTCAGCGCCTTGGCTCTATATGTCATCTTACTGTAAGTAAGAGGTGTACCTTTTGAGGGCCCGTGGAACTCGGAAACTAGGTTGATTAAGTATTGTCCGGGTGCATAGCTCAGAATTGCATAGCGGTCTGCTGAAGCATCTAAGAAGTCACATCCCTTAGAGAAGTTCCTATGAAGAACCTCTTGGTAGTCGGTCCCAAATTCTATAGGGTTTAGGGTTTAGGCGAGGGTATCACATCATCTACTTGCTAGATCCTCCCGGGGTCTGCATAGTTTGGCGTTGTCAGGAGTCGATCCTTCCCGAGGACAGACGATGCGGGTTCAGGGTTCAAGGTAATCGCCCTGAAGAAGGTCCCAAACCCTGCAACTCGAGCCGATAAACTACGATCCTGGTGATGCAGAGCTTCAGGCTTCAGGCTTGTGGTGTCCGGGGGCCTCGTGATGCGAGCAGCAGTTTGCGATCATTCGGGGTTCGGCGTTCACTATTGAAGAATATGGGGTTTCAGGTAACTTGCTCAGGAGTCCTTGTAGCAATGACCCGAGCACTCGGGGTGTGTACAAGGGTCTTCCATGTTCTGAATCACCCATACCCGGACCTCGGCAAAAATCTAGAAAGTAGATCCCCTCATTTTGGGCCCTATACTACTAAGGGTACTTTTGGAGCCCAATCAAGGAGTCTACTTTTGGATCCTCCCGGGGGTCTGGGTACACACTTCGATGCAGGTACCTTGGGTTCTGAAGTCGGTCCTTTCACCTTTGAATCCAAAGCCTTGCTTCGGGGTTTCTAGTTGCTGGTCGGGGGAGTTAGTAACTATAGGTGATAGGAAGACGTACAAGTACCCTAAAAGGGACGCTGCTTGGGGCAATGATACTTATAAGTCTCTAACATAACTACTTACTAAGTCCCTGCATCCTCCAAGTAAGCGCAGGATGCCAAAGCTGGCGCAAACAAAGACAAAGAAGGCACCGGCGGCAGCGCGGAAGGTTGCTGGCTGTGAGGTGATTTTGGTGGGTCAGAACGAGTTACCATGTAGTCTTATAGGTATCATATCCCCAATTAGGACCCGTTTTAGGGTACTGACAAATCTACTTGCTACCTACTCACTAAGTCTCAGGTTTGGGTGTCTTGCTCATAATGAAATCGTAAAGAATGCGGGGCCAAGGGTCATGTAATCCTGAAATGGGGATGTCGAAGTATTAGGGCTCCTTCTCGGGACCGTACACGAAGTGAAATCACCGAAGGTGTAAGCATGCCTTTACAAGACTCAGCAGGTCGCGACCCCCAAAATCGTAACCCCCAAACCCAAGTATCAAGAAGGGCAGTCCAAGATGGAACCCCTGCGAACCACAAATCCTGCACTATCGGGCCCATAACGGAAGACGGACACACAGTGCCAAGCAAGGGAATCCTAAACTCGAGTCCTGACCCTAGACCCTGTCCCTGAAGCTCCAAATGGCCAACAAGCTTCGTACAGCATGATAAAGTAACGGTGTTTCGGCGCAACCTAGACCCTCCAACTACACTCTATTATACCATAAATACACATTTGTCAGGATCGGAAGGGCTCCACGCAAGTACACTTCGGAGGTCTTGGAAACTCTGGAAACATGATCCGGTAGAGCCTGCGGGTACCTTTAGATGTTTTCCTTAAAGCGGTTGCTTGGGGATTAGGTTTTTCTAAGAGCTTTTATAAAGGCGGCTATACGTGTTTGAAGGGTGTTAGGTGTTTTGGGTTCCTTTGGGGGGGTTCGTGACCCGTGCATCATTACTGGACGTTCACAGCTCGCTTGGAGGCTCCGGGTGCTATAAAACGTTTTCGGGTTTGGGGTTGATAAGCCTGTTTATAACCCAACGTTCCCCCTGTTTAGTCAGAGGTTGGAATGGGGTTGTGGGTTCAGTTTAGCCAAACTACAAGACCCCTATCTAGTCACTTCTATGCAAATTGAGGGTTTATAGGATTCAGGATCATGTCTGTGCACGGCCTTTGAAACGAAGTCCTGGGTTTCTGTTGGCCATACACTCTCCAAAACCCTAGTGGCCTAAGACCCTAGGCAAGAGGGTCCATGTAACTACCATGATGGATTTAGGTCCCCAAAACCATAATAAGGACGGTCTGTTGGAGCCTAGATCCATAATGGTAGTAAATATGGACCCTCTGGGTAAGCAGGTATCGATTAGGAAAAGCTTTAAATTGTCCTTATGGGACTGTTGAAACCGACGGCTAGTAAACCCTGCATCATGAATATGTTGTAGAGCTCAGGAGCACTGTTAAATCAACTTATCCTTGGGTTTTCAGGGTCCTGTCTGTATGGGACACCCATGCACAACAACCAATACGAAATCCCAAACCATAAGGATTCCTTCCGAAGGCATGTTGGCTCTGTGTATTCTAGACGTATTGAGTAGAAGATGACAGAAGCTCCGTTTCCGCGCGACGATGATTTGGAAGCAGCGGCAGCGGTCGCATGGCCAAGACGTCTATGGAAGGGTTTAAACTAGTCTGACCTCTATAGGCCCAAAACTTCAAAGCCACAAACCTAAACCCAAAACTCTAAACCCATAACCCCAAATCCTAAAGTCCAACCCCAGAACCCTAAACCCAAAACACCAAAACCCAAAACCCCAAAGCCCAAAAACCCCTAAACCCTAACCGCTTATACTGGAGTCCCAAGAAGCGCTGGGTTGTTCCTCAAAAGGGTTCCTATACGGACTCTTGAAAGGATTCGAGACGGGTTTTATAAGGGCTTAGGGTTTGGGATGTAGTGTTTAGGGTTTAGGGGTCGGGTTGTAGGATTTAGGGTTTAGGGTTCGGGTTACAAGATTTAGGGTTTGAGTTATAGGGTCTAGGGTGTAGGGTTTAGGTTATAGGTCTTTGAATAATGAGAGTTTTGGTGAAGGTACGTGGCGCGCGTCGAGGACTGTAGATGTTGGGCTTTTAGGTTTTTTGGGTACAGTTTTGGTGACAGGACGTGGTGCTCTTCGAGGATTGTAGATTTTGGATGCTCCTTTGGTGACACTAACTAGTCCCATCTAGTCCCATAATGGCTTACCTCAAGAAGCATTGCATAACATCTTGCCCGTAGCTTTGAATTTCAGTTGGCTCAGGGTTTTGCAGGTGCGTTCCGGCGCTGTGGATCCGGTTTCCTATCCCGAACCGTTACAAGCTCTTAAACCCAGCCAGAGTGGAGGGCAAATGCACCTTAGCTCAAGCTACAAGAACCTCAGTTGTTTTTCTGCAGGGTCCTCAGAAAGTCCATTTTCATATCTTGAGGTTTACAACCAGAACCTACAAACAAGTTTTGCCAGGTTTTTGTGGGACGAGGACTTTACCTATAAGTATACTTCTTGCATTATGGTTACAGTGTTCGTAGCCCTAGCTTCTAAGCCCCGTGAACCTTTAAGTAGGGCTAGTGTTCTTGAATTTGTAACCCTAGTTACTAAGTCAAATGAACCTCTAAGTAGGACTAGGAATTTAAGCTCTCCCATAAACTCCTTCGCACCCCAAGCCTGAAACAACCCTACACCAACCCGCCCCAAAGCCTGGAATGGCTTTTAGCGTTTTGGGGTGAGGTCTGAAGCCTTTACAGTACTTGGAGGATCATGGGACTTAATAAGTAAGGTTATAGGTACCTTATTTGGGGGGTATAAGTAGCTATGAGTATAGCTACCTTAAATATAACCCTAGTTACTAAGTGACCTGACCCTTTCAGTAGGTGCCAGAAAACCTCAACATGATCCTCCTCATGCCCTAAACCCTAAACCCTTAACCCTAAACCCTAAACCGTGTAAGGTACAGCACAAAGAATCCCAGCACTAATCACGCTAATTCCATGTTAAAACTTTCTGGGCTTACGAAAGGCTCGAACTTACAATTATAAATCCAGAATGGGATTCATAGGGGCCCTACAACAAACTAGACTTTGATGGTAGGTTAAAGTATGCCCTACGCCCAAGGCCCCCGACCAACACCATCAAGTCCAACTTTCTGAGCCCTGGTTCAAGCCTGAGCCCCTTAAATTGAATAGTCCGAGACCCAAACCCCAACCCGAAACAGCCTCCAAGTCTAAATTTCCAGGTCCTAAATCCCAAATAATGCACTGTCGCGTGCTAGCTTGAGGTGAAAAAGCGAGCTTGTCACGACAAATGGTATATCTTGTACTTCCTGCTCGTTCTAACAGGCCTTTATCTGGGGTGGCTGTGGTTCCATATGGCTTACCTGGACTTCAAACAACCCAGTTTATTAAGGACTTGCATCAGGAAATCATGCCCCCCTCAAAAGTAGGTTTGATAGGATCCAGCCAGGGTTTTGAGGCCCAGAGAGTCCTAGGTATTGTTATGTGGGAGACTTCCACAAATCATAATAGTAATTCCCAATCTAGAAACCCTACGTTCTACCGTATGTATAGGTACTTAGGACCCTTTGGGCGGGTGGGCAGAGTCGTTGGAGCCTCGATTTCGGGTTTGAGGTCCATAGAAGCCTTTTTGCGACGGCTTTTCGGATTTGTATAGGGACTCAGGGTTGCGGCTTAGGGTTTAGGGTTTAGGGATGTTTAGGGTTAAGAGTTTAGGAGTTTTGGGTTTCGGGGGTCCTTGGTGTTATACGGCCTCATGGATCTTTCGGGTGTAGTGTTTAGGGTTCAGAGCTAAATCTCACTACCCAGACAAGCACGCTTCGCTCAGTGGAGATTCGAGGAGCTGGGGATGTTGGGAGATTGGTCTTGTGCTTGTTTACTTGCAGGATCAGGTGAAGCAGGAACAGCAACACGGCTTGGTTTGAAGTCAGACCTGCGCTCGCTAATTGGGATCCTAAAACCCTAGTTGTAGCCTGTGCCGCCGAGCGAGTCGCCTGCCTTTTTGTCGAGAGCGCGTGCAGGCTGTGCTGTGTAAAATAACTTCCAAACCCTAAACCCTTAACCCGCAAGCTCCCAAGCAAATGAACAGAACAGTCAGCGAAAGAAAACCGCGTTTACCTCAAGGGTCATGGGACTTAGTAGGGTTATAATTTCAGATAACTATGCTTATACTTAGTTCTAACCCCCAATTAACATACTTACCACCTGACTTACAAAGTCCCATGATCCTCCTAGTAGACTAGACATCCTAATCCCCTACAGATCCCTTCAAGGAACCCCTTAAGGAACCCGTTAAGTTACTATATAAGTTACTAAGTCCCATGATCCTCCAAGAAAGCACTACGCCCCGGCCCTAAGCCCTAAACCCTTAGGGTTTAGGGCTTAGGGTTTAGGGTTAGGGTTTAGGGCCCGCCACAAAACCGAAAGCCACCACAGGCATGGTTGGTATGGCATACTGGGCCCTCGCCATGGAAACTCGCCTGCTTCGGGGTCTATACTAAGCTAAGTGGCAATTTGGGAAACTCTTAAATTTCCCCATATGGTTCCTACAGAGGTACCTATTCATAAATATTTGTCAGAACCTCAAGACTACGACCCAGTAAGTTAAGTTGCATAAGGCTCGGGGATTCAGGGTTTAGGATTGAGGGTTTAGGAGTTAAATGTTAGGTTTCAGGGTTTAGGTTTGAGGGATTGGGAATGTGCTGAGAAGGTTTAGTTAGGCACAGTGCTACCAAGATCCAAATTATTCCAAAGCCCGAAATCCCGGAGAATGCTGCAGAACAGTGACACGAGAGCTGAGCCCGACTGCTGAAGTGATCCAGCTTTCCTGGATGGGTTCCGTAGTCGGTGTTTAGAGCAAGGATCCTGCTCTTCAAGATCTATCTATCTATATAAGTATAAACATGAATACAAATTAATATATATATATATATTTATTTATTTACTTATTTATTTATTTATTTATTTATTTATTTACACACATTTGTATTATATATATATATATATATGCATACGGCATACTAAGGGTATTCTCGTTTTCTGTAGCTGGGTTCAAGATTTCGGGCACAGGCCTAGAGGTTGGGATCAGCCATTCAGGATATGTACCCAGTTGCACTGCTGCAGTGAGTAAGGTTTGAGGCTTCAAGGAGGGTAGGCCGGGTTGCCAAGACCAGCCCCCTGTCTACCCTGTGAACTTTTATTCGGTGATCTGCTAGGATTATCTTATTTGTTTAGGATTCGACTGCCAGGTTATGGGGGTTCGGGTTTCGGTGTCAGTTCATTCAGGCACAGGACTATGCAGGGAATTCTCGGTATTCAGGAGCCTGAGGTGTAATAAAACGCGGCCTAAGTAATTACCAATCGTATTTTGTGGGTTCCTTGTTACAGTTTTATCATAATATTCCCCGAAAGCCTGCTCCAATTTCTAAGGCCGCTATAGTACGGAGTGTCGATTTTGTCAAGGATTGTTCTTGGTAGTGGGTCTACAGTATTCGTACAAAAACCCATGAGGCGAGGTCAGAAGGATGCTGGTCTTCGCGACTGCATGGTCCAGGGCCTGGCAGCACCGCATCCCACATACCCAGACTCAAATACCAAAAGGTCTTCACGTTTCCTCCTCCTCCTACTTGTACTGGTACCAGGACTCGTACTAGTACTAGTACTAGTACTAGTACTACTGCCACTACTACCACTACCACCACCGTTACCACCACTGCTACTGCGTCTACTGTCACTACTACGACGACGACGACGACTACTACTACTACTCCTCCTCGTGCTGTTGCTGCCGCTGCTGCTCCTACTCCTCCTCGTCCTCCCAGTGCATGTCCTCCTATTGCTCTCACTACTCCTACTCCGACTCCTATCCCTACTGATTCTCCTAATCCTACGCCTTCACAAACAGTACCAGCAGCAGCACCGCAGCCTGCACCACCACTGACCAGGAAGGGGCAGACATTGCCCGGCTACTCCACCCTGCAACCTGGATTTGCATTTGAAGGGCGTAGGGGCTTGGGTTCCAGTCTTACTCTTAACCCCAGGTCCAGTTACTTGTTGGTCAATCTCTTGAAAGTTCAGGCTTTGGGGGCTCTGAACCCTAAATCCTAAGCCCTCTTAACCCTAATTCCTAAACCCTGCACCCGAACAGTTTCAGGACAGAGACTTTTGTTACTTTGGCCGTGGAGTTTTACACTTCAGGCATCAGGGTGCGCACATCCGTTCAGGGTTGGGTTTAAGCTTTGTCCTTTAGGGTTTCGTGTATGCTGTAGAGGTTGCGGATAGGACCTTAGGAGCCTTCAGATGCACACTTTGCCACAGATGCCTGGTAGCATCGCCATGAGGTCGCTGGCACGAGAGGACCATTAGTATTTTGCAGGTGCGCTTGGGCCGGAGGCCCAACAGGCTTTTGCGAGTGGCCATCTGACACGAGATGGCAACTGCATCCGGGTCATGTGCCCAATGGTCACTTGGAGGGTCCGGGGACTTAGAAAGTAGTTATTTTAGGGACTTATAAGTATCGCAACCCCTATTTAGGGTCCCTATTAGGTTACTTATAAGTCTACTTACTAATTACTTACTAAGTCCCCCGACCCTCCAGGCAGTCAGAGCCAGAGCGACGCCTCGAAGACTCTGCATTTCCTGAACCATGCTTCAAGGATGTCCGCCTGCACGAGGAACAGATCTTCTGCGCCGACGAACTGACCCCCGAAAGTAAGGTACCCTCCCAATTTTCGGAAACTCTAAACCCTAAACCCCTAAACCCGTAAACCCGAAACCCTAAACCCTCAACCTCTAACCCCTAAACCCTAAACCCCTAAACCCTAAACCCTAAGCTCTGAGCCCCCAAGGCCCAAGGCATGGGGGCAGCACTCTAAGCCTTCTCACTCTCAAACCCAGCACCTTCAAGCAGAAAGCCCCCGTCGCGCACTTGGAGGATCATGGGGCTTAGTGACTTTAAAGGGTTCCTTAAGGGGTTCCTTAAAGGGTTCCTTAGAGGGATCTATAGGGGTTTAGGGGTTAGGGTCTACTGGGAGGATCATGGGACGTAGTAAGTATGTTATAAGTACCTTAATTGGGGATATAAGTATTTAAAGGTAAAGTTACCTGAATTATAACCCTGGGTACTATTACTAAGTCCCATGAACCCTCAAGCACCCCCCTCCGTTGCGTGCTCAGGCTCAACACCTTTTCAGACGGTTTCGAGGCCCTGTTGTGCGCCCGACACTTGCACTTCAACCCGTAAGCCCTGAAGTCAGCATCGAATTTTAAACTCAAACTCTTTTTTTGGCCCCTCAAAGCAGCCTCCTAAACATCCCTAAACCCGTAACATCCCTAAAACGTGCTTTCCCAACGTCAAAAACAACCACGAACCCTCGACATGAGGCAGACTTTTCCGGCCGGACTTGCGGGAAAGGAGCAGGTGTGGAAGCAGCTGGGCTGCATCAAAGTCAAACTTCTCCGGAAGGCCTCAGGTCAGAACCCCAGACCGTATCCTGTGAAAATCCCAGCGTGTTGGGTGAATATGTCTCGCGCTGTAGGAATTCGGTTCTGCTGGTTGCTGTGCGCTCTCTGAGGATAAGCCCTTCCTCTACGTGTGCGGCCTAGCCAGTGAAGGCTACCAGGCAGGGAAATCTCTGGAAAGTTACCACCACCTACAAAGTTGATTGCTGATTGTAGACAAACATTGCAGCTAAGCAGCTAAGCCTTCAACCGTATGCCCTAGACCCCCTACCCCTCTAATCCTAACTGCCCAACAGGACAAGTTGCAAAAGAAGGCAGTGGTACAATTGATGATATAAATCTTGCATTACCCAGAATAAGGAATGTAATTACCATTATTCCCATAGTTTAGGATCCTTTACGTAATGCAGATTTGTATCAACAGTATACTGTATCAGCTCTAAGAGGACTTTCCTCCGAACCTCGGTATACTTCTATGCCACTGCTTGCGGGCTTGCATGCCGGCAGATAAACGTATGCGCATGCATGTACAACTGGATAGATACCCTCAGGGTCCATGTACCCAGATAGTATATACTTTGGGCTTAAAGTAGTCCCTATACAGGTACATTGGGGCCTAAGTAACATACTAATTATTCGGATACATGGACCATTAAGGATATGCGCGTTTGCGCATTTCTTCGGCTCTGTACCTAGCCTGCGCACCCTTCCGACCGACTTTCCTGCAGGCGTACACTCATCACTTGTTTCTCTCAGATGTTCGTCCTGAGGTATCTGTCGAAGCAACTTCTACCACAACTGAACACACATAACGAATTCATGCTGAGGGTCCCTGGAAAGATAGAGGTGCATTGCTGGATCAGGGGGTTCTGAGTCTCTGAGTTTTCGCATCCCTGCAGGATGGCTTTCCAAAGAAGCTGGATTTTTGGTCAAAGACCTGCATCAGCGAATGCCCTTCGAACAATCGCAGCGACGTAGAGACTTGCCGTACGTGTGGTCATGAGTCGCTGGGGTTTCGAATCCAGGATCTACCTTAACCCCAACAGCCCATGGTAGCTCTAATATAATAAACTCCAAAAATCCCAACTGACATGCATATAAATCAAGCCTAAAGCCGCCAAGCTGGACGCCCCATCCAGGCCAAAGTGATTGATCTTTAGAGTTCAGGGTTTGGGGCTTAGGGTTTAGGGTTTGTTTGGTTCACAAAGGGCCAGCTGAAGCTACAACTTGCGAAGCACTTGACTTGTCGCGGCCTGTAAGTAACCTCACGCAAAGCCGGATGGCTGGAATCCCAAACCTTAAACTTAAACTCTGACCTTAAACCCGAAACCCTTAACCCTAAAACCCTAAACCCTCAAACCCTCAACCCTCAACCTTAAACCCTCAACCCTTAACCCCACCCTTAAACCCTAAACCCTAACCCCTACCCTAAACCTCAACCCAAGTAAGCTGACCCCGAGTTCGGTCGTCAGGATCCTCGGTGGTTTGAGGATTAAGGGCTGTTTAGCATGTTACAGTTAGCTACTGCCCCCACTGAGTAAGAGGTGAATACTGTTTTAACACCGATGCATATAGCTTTGTCGGTGGTCTCGGATCCTATAAGCAGCTCTACATAGAGGACAGTGCATTCATCCGGGTTTCATACGGGTTCTACAGAGGTCATCTTACAACGGTTCCAACGAGGTTTTATTTTTGAGGCTTCTACACGGAACCTATGGTTTTTTAAACAAGGATTTTATGTCGAGGTCTTTTTGCAAGGTCTGCGCAGGTTTCCCTGGCGTTAGCCTTTTCCGCCCTTAAGCCAGAAACCCTAAGGCCACAAACCCAAACCCGTGAAGCTTTGCTGCAAACCATTCTCAAGCAATCAGGACGTGCTTCGTAGTGTAGGAACCTGATTAAGAGACCCTGGCCCTCTAACCCCAACATAGTAGGGTCCAAATAAAGGCCCAGGGTTTCTTAATCAGGTTCCTACATTAGCTGATTTACTATTCTGAGACTACGTATCCACCGTAAGTCTAGTTATCCGGCCGTTGCCTTGCGACTTCCGCTTGCGAATACATGTAGGCTCATGCCCTAGCCGCTTTTTAGTGTATCTTGTTTGCTATATAGCAGAAGCAGACAACTAGGTATCCTAGAAAAGGGGTAGGGTATGAGCCTGGACGGGGTTCCGATCAGGAATGCATTGGTCGGCCTTATGTCCTTCCTCGCGCGAAAGATTGCACGACGGACGATTGCATCGCGCCCCGGCAGTTTTGCACGTTTGATCAACTTCAAGTGTTTTTTCACCAACCGGGGTGGGGATATCTCTGCCGTAAACTCACCCCTAAACCCTGAAACCTAAACCTTAAACTTAAACCTAGTCGGTTGTGAAAGGCACTGGTATCAACCTCATCCGCTAACAACTGTTGCGCTGCATGCCGCCTAAGTCCGGGACCCTTGAATTGCCAAGCCACCAAATCTAAGGGTCACTGTCAGTTTTTCGTACATACCTCGACCTTACAGTACGATATAAGGAGTACTTCAAGGGTTTAAACATATACATGTTTTCACAATATTGTTAGATCTACCCTTATGGGGTGCAGCTTGTGTTGGTGGCTGAGGTCCAGCGGCCGGGGCTTAGCGCACTCTTCTTTCAGAATCCAGCAACTCAAAGTCTTGTTTGTGGTGTTCCATCATTTCTGAACTACTGTCCTTCTACGGTCGGCAAAACAGTACGTCGCTGTTCTAATCCAGACCAGAACCGGGACCGTAATTGCAGAGAAATCACATCCCCAATCCTTCACCCACAACCTAACTTCAAAATGTATCGCAAGGCTACAGAACCTGAGAAGCCTTATGAGGCACTTAATTACTGCATCCCGTGAGATATTTCAAGTGGGTGTCTGGACCCTCAACGCCCAAACCCTAAAACCCCAAAGTTAACTCCTGAACATTCCTGAACTCTAAAGTTCTATACCCTGAAAGCCTAACGCCCTCTACCATGAGACCACAATCCTTGAAGCCATGTTCGCTTAAACCCTATCCCCTCAAAGCCCTAAAGCATAAAACCTTTGCCCTGAAAGCCGCCAAAAAACCCTGAAGCCCTAAACCCTAAACCCAGCCCTTCAGAAGCGCTCCGTCGCCAAGGACCAGGCGAACCAAGTCCAGGTGAGACGAAGTGTGACCTGGGAAGTGGCACAGGCCATTTTTGGGGTTTAGGGGTTTAGGGTTTAGGTTTGCCTCCTGCGGAATTGCTACATCGTTCTGTCATACAAAACCCAAGAGAATTCAAAAGATAGCTTTTTGGTCTCCTTAGGTATTGCTTATTATTGTTGTTGTAATACCCAAGAGAATTTTGCAAATTGTATGGTTTGTTCATTATGGTTCCAAAGGAGGCCAGTTTTTGTTGTAAGAAGTAATTGAAACACGTGACGATCATGACGATAATTATGTTTTCGCTGTCATAAGGAATTACCTGAAGTACACTATGTTTAAAATTATGATGGTGATAGTTGTTTGCTGCTTTGTGCTTGTAGAGCTTGATTGCTTTATGGTTTAGGGTATATTGTTTTGAAGGTTTGCATTTTCGGTGTGGCATTGCCCAGCTTGGGTGTAGAGAGTATAGGGGCCGCGGTTGAACCAGATTTTTGTTGAAGGATGATGTTTGTTTAAATACATGATATACTACTGGGGTTTCTAACGATCCGGCCAGGGGTATTCGTATGTGATATTTGTTTAACTAGTGGCAGTGATACCATGTGTGTAGTTCTCTAAATGAAGCGCCCACTCAGATCCCAATATAGTACGGCCCCCTTGTGAAAAACGACCCTCAACCGGATCCTAATTTAGAGAACTACCCATGTGGTGCCGTTATCGAATGCTTGGTTCAAAAAAACGAGGCTATTCGTCTTCTGGGAAATGTGCGGGATCAAAAAACAGAAATCTTGCATGCTTCAATCGAACATGGTCTATAGTGATAGTATTCAAGGCGTAGTGTGGTGAGAGTATGTGACCGTGAGGATCCATCAGGTGTTTGACCACTTTCATTCGTTTTTGGTCCTGTTGCGTTGAGGGGGAGTTGTGTGAACCGACAGGGTTTCTAGGTACTGTAATGGGGGATACTTCCTCAAATCAGTAATTCCCTATTTAAAACGCATATTCGACCACCTTGGGTAACAGACACAGCATTGCTTGTAAGGATGCATATGGCATATGAATAAGCTGTTGTTCAGCTTAGTTGTAGTGGGGTTTTGCGTTCAGGTAACGCTGCGTGTCCGAAGGTTTCAGGCCAAGCTACAAGCGTCTTTGTCAGAAAACAACCCCTAACCCTATGCCTCCAGGGACCTTATGATTGGGTCGTTAAGGGGTCTAGGGCCCCCTAAGTAAGAGGTCCTTGGAAGCCTAGGGTAATTTCTAAATCCTAGTGCAATTTTTCTCGAGCCTTGAATTCTGAAGGTGCCTTAATTGGAGTTGTAAGTAGCTAATTATAAGTATAGTAACCATAGTTATAACGCTAGTTACTAAGTCACGGCTTGGGGTTCAGGGTTTAGGCTTAACCCCTGGGGCTTAGGGGGTGTAGGCTTCAGGGATCTTAATATCCTTCCTTTGGGAAATCGCCCGAAGCTGGCAGACCCAGGCAATCAAACCCTAAATCGTATAAGCCCTCTTTTTCAAGCCGCACGAGACACCTGAACCCGACCCAGAGAGCCCGACAGCCCAATGTTTTTGTTGTTACCATGAAATACCTGGGTTTGGAGTACCATACTTGAATACTTTTTTGGGTACCTGTTCCTCAAAAGAACCATTATGAAATAAAAGTCTATACTTTTTTCTCCCTGGTTACTTCAAAGTTCAGAATATATCTTCAGATCATGACAAGAGGACCTCAATCCTTGAGGGAAGATCCGTTCATTCGGATTTAAGTTGAGCTCTCGGGCTTAAGCCCCCATGCCCTAAACCCTAAACCCTAAGCCCTAAACCCTAAACCCTAAACACTAAGCCCTAAACCCCAAATCACCAAAGCCCAAACAAATCCTGATGTACAGGCCATCACTTATCAGAAGACCTATGCCACGGAGCCATTCCGTGGGACCATCTGTGCACCCTCGTCGCCGGGGCGGCATTTGAGCATTCCGAGTTTCGGGGGTGTATAGACTGCGGGGTGCAGATTCAACCTTCGAGGGCTTTAGGCTGCAGGGTCCAGGGGTGGCTTCATGCGTCTAGGGGCGACGATGGATAGTGTAGGATATGAGTGAATTTTGTTTTTTTGTAATGGCTCTATTTGGGAGATGCGCAGGGCACCTTGCCCTAGGTGTCTCCCCAAATGCGCACAGACAACACTCGAAAGGTTTGAAGTTTGATATACTTGAATCGTTTGAACATGGTGCTTTCCAAACTTTCTGGGCCCGGAATCCGGATTCCAAAACCTCAAACCATTTCAGCATCGTAGCCTCAACTGTGAGCTCTGTGGGCTCTGCCCCTTGGCAACAGGTGGGCTGCCCCCAATGACCTTCGATGGCAGGTGCGCCACTGATCAAACAGCCAGACAAGGGTTCAGGGTTTAGGTTTTAGGGTTTCGAACGGGCCTCCAGGGAGTTTAGGGTTTGGGGGTTTAGGGGTTGAGGGTTTAGGGTTTAGGGGTTTTAAGGTTTAGGGTGTTTTGGGCTTCATTGTGGGTTTATTAAAGTGTAGATCGTTCTGGGCTTCAGGCTTGAGTTCAGAAAATGATATCTCTGGGTTCTAACTTCTAACGACAGTGCATAGGGCATAGGTCGAAGGAGCGGCTCCACCCGCGTGGGATAGGACTCTCTCTCTCTCTCTCTCCCTCTCTCTCTCTCTCTCTCTCTCTCTCTCTCTCTCTCTCTCTCTCTCTCTCTCTCTCTCTCTCTCTCTCTCTCTCTCTCTCTCTCTCTCTCTCTCTCTCTCTCTCTCTCTCTCTCTCTCTCTCTCTCTCTCTCTCTCTCTCTCTCTCTCTCTCTCTCTCTCTCTTTCTTTATGTATATGTATATTATATAGATCTATACATATATATATATATATATACACACATTATGGATATATATATATATATATGTATATATATATATATATATACATGTATATATATACATGTATATATGTGTATATATATATATGTATACATATGTATATATATATATATATATATACATATGTATTTTGTGGGCAGAGCTGACGGGCAGGAACGCTGAACACCAAAAACGCGGATCAGCCCGCAACGCAACTAGAACCTTAAACCCCAAACTTGAAACCCTAACAACCTCGGAACCCTAAACGTTCTAATCCGCAAGACCACGCTCTAGGCATGTTAACCAGGCAAGTCGACTCCGGGATCGTTTCTGCGGCTAGGGTTACTTGGAGGGTCGGGGGACTTAGTAAGTAGTTAGTTCAAAGACTTATAAGTGTCATAGTCCCAGTGAGGACCCCTTTTCCGCGACTTATAAGTCTACTTAATTTTTACTTACCAATTAAGTCCCCTTACCCTTCAAGTAACCCTCTACCCCTAGGGTCTCAGTATTGCTTGAGGCCCCCAAAACAGATGTTTTCAAAGGGTTTTGTTCGGAAGGCATCATAAGGAACCCTAAACAGGTAGGGTGCTTCTTCTACAGTTAGGGTTCAAACATCAGAGTTAATACCTAAACAATTACCAGCAGTTTTGGTCAGGGTTCCTCATCAAAAGTAATCATACTAGAAAGCCCAAAACCCCATTCTATTATTGAGGCCCCTAATCAATCCATAAGCCCTAAACGTCAGAGTAAGCCGCAGCGGCCCGGAGCTAAGCGCACAGGTCATCAACGGCCCTCGCTCGCCAATCAGCTCGATTGGTGAAGCCGTCGGGAGCTTGGTCCTGGCCTCAGTTCGGAGTTTAGGGTGTAGGGATTGCCGCCAAGAGACTCCAAAATGCCGTAGACAAGGCTTTGGGATCTGTATAGGAAAACATAGCGGCCGCAAGTGCGTGCGCTTCATACCGGCTTCATCTTTGCGCCATGCGAGCCAGTTTAGGAACTGTTTAGTGCAGGTGTCAGTCACTGCAGTTTTGACTCTGCCAGTATCTGAGAAAATGCTGGCTCCGCACTGGCATTTCTCCTGCGAAGTGCTTGCCTGATGGCTACTTCGCCGAACCCCTTTCGAAGCACTTATCCTGGCATAGGATATTCAGGGGGCGTCTAGGCAGGCACCCACTTGGCACCCCAGATGCCAGCACTAGCACTCAGGGACACCGGCAAAATCTGAGATATACCGACAACAGACTGCAAAACACTACGGTGGGCCCCGGTTCTTCTGCCCGTGTAATCACTACATTAAGCCGGCTCAAAGCTGGACGAATGCCGGTGTGCTCATGGTAAGGGACCCTGGCTCACCATACCTTAGGGTCACTGATGAATACCTCGTAAGATGTTAAGCTATGTTCCTGAATTACGGATTGTTGGAGTCTTTGGGTGTGAGGTTCATGGCAAGTTAGGCTCCATGTACCTTTATAGTAGATACTGAAGCTTTAAAGGTGTCCCCATATCGGTACTTTCAGGCCTAAGTATAGACATATATGGGCACATGGAGCCTTAGGGCCAGCCAGGCCGAAGAACACCGAACAATGACAGCAGCAGTCAAAGAACGCTCAGACAACCCGCGAAACTGCATGACCTGCTCTTTCACAGGCGTTACTCAAAGTTTGGGACGGCCTGTTGGGCTTAAGACAGTACGAAGCTTTAGCATATAGATGTTTGCTGGCGATTTCTTATTCCTGAACCGTCCAAGTCTCAGCCGCGAGGAAGCTTAGCAGGCACGCCTCCAGACTCCAAACCACCTGACTGCAAGGAGACGGCGTGGCCCATCCTTCTGGCAGTCTTCGTCATTGCAGCCTGGATGAAGTTAGTGGTTGCAGATGGTTGGAGTGTCGAGTCAAGGCTTTCAATTTGGCTTCCGAGCTCAGCTATGTTAAGTTGAGGTCTTGAGGCCGTTCAGAACCTACAGCCTTGTGGAGTTATGCCCAAATATATACGAGATTCCGATAGTCTGTGCTTTTGGCCCTAAGGTACATGTGTAGGAACCCCTTGAAGACATGAGCAACAGCCATTTGGGACGGACGGACCCTTCGACATAGAGAGAGAAGCCATCATCCTCAGTTGCTTATATGTCTTTGCTGCGTTTTGTAGCGTTTTCGGGCTAGGATTTCTGTCGGTTTGAAACAGGTTTGGGTGCTTAGCCCTGGCCTGAGGATCTTGCAAAGCAGCAATGTGGTTTTGAGTTCAGGGTCCTAGAACTTAGCGCTTAGATGAGATAGGGTTTAGGCTGTAGGGTACGGTTCACAACCCCACTTAAAGGGTCATGGGACTTAGTAACTGGGGTTATAACTAGGGTAACTATACATAGAATTACTTATAACCCCAATTAAGGTACCTATAACCTGACTTACTAAGTCCCATGATCCTCCAAGCACACAAAGTGTGATCAGCATCTCCGAACGGAATCCACGCCCGACCTTCTCACCTACACACCAACCTCAGTAGGCTACTATCCGTAAGGCTGCATGTACCCGTACAGTATATACTTAGGCCTTAAAGTGCCTATATAGGGACCGCTTGACAGCCTTAAGTATCTACTATAAAGGTACATCGAGCCTTTGGGTATAGTATACTATGATGCATATACTACAACATCAGAAGTCGCTTATAGCATTAACTTAGCACACACCGCCTTCCGAAGCATTCAGTCCTCCTGCATCCCGGTTGCGAGCATTTTGCCTTTGTCTTATGGCCCTTCAACGCAAGACAAGCCCTATGTAGCCCATAAGACTTTGAACTTCCACAGAGATTGAAGCCATACATGCTCAAAGCTGGAACCGTTGAAAACCGTACAAACCCTCCACAACCTTTTCTCAGGACCTGAAATGACCCCACGCACTAAAACTTTATATCCCAGCCAATGCAAGCTCCCAAGGCCACCGTCTTGTCTATGGTGTTCCTGCTTCTTTGCATGGCAGTGAGTCGCAGGCTTCAAGGTTCTATAAGAGTTCCAGAGTTTAGGGTTTAGGATTTGGGGTGCCGCTGTTGCTTTCGTCAGATTCTGGATGGGGTGGTCAGGTTTCCGAACTTGTGGCCTTTGCATCGTTCGGATGGCAACGAACTTGTGGGCAGGAACGGCATTTTCATTGATCCGGGTTACACGGCAAGTCAGGAGAAGCAGGATGGAGCACCTCACACAGCTCGAGGAAGCCGAGCCACACCCAGTAGATCCTGCAGCAAACATCTGACAAGCCCGCCTGGTCTCAGCTTGAAGAAACAGACCCCCGGGAGGATCTAGAAAGTAGATCCCCTAATTTGGGGCCCTATACTACCAAGGGTGCTTTCTAGGAACCCCCATGAAGGGATTTACTTTTTTGGATCCTCCCGGGGGTCTGGGGAACTGCTTCATATACAACCTGAGCAATGATCTGTGTTATTCGCTCGGGCTCCTTGTAAGATCCCCCAGGTCCTAGTCTCATTAACTCTTCCTGTGTTCGATCCAGAAGCCGAGGGGCCCCGGAATGCGAACTCCCCGAAGTTCCCCATCACCTCTGATGACGCATCATACGGTTCTGGGTATGGGTTTCAGGGTTTAGGGTTGAGGGGCCCTAATAATTGTATAGTTTCAGGGCAAGAAGATATACAACTTACTCAGCCAAGAGGAACTCCAGTAGGAGAACTTTAAGCCTTCATGTGGTCTGCGCTTACAAACTTGTTTGCTGGGGCCGGTGATTAAAGAAGGGAGATGAATATGAGTTGAAAGCCTCGCAATCTCCTAATTAAGGTATCCCTGTATGTAGATCCCCGGGAGGATCCAAAAAGTAGATCCCTTAATGGGGGTTCCTAGAAAGTACCCTTAGTAGTGTAGGGCCCCAAATTAGGGGATCTACTTTCTAGATCCGTGCGGGGGTCTGGGTATAGATCCTGTCCCGTGCGTTTTGTTTGGCAGTTTTCTGCCGTGACATTCCCAGGAGGTCCTAACCCCAAACCCTAAACGCCTGGCTCAAAAGACAAGGAACAGAAAACGCACACAACAAGACAAGGGCCTTCTGCAACCAAGGTCCTTGACAACAAGCCCAAAAGTCTAAGAGAATTGTATACATAGCCAGAAGCCTTCTGCAATCCAGCTCCTCAGCGCTATGGGTCCAAGTGTCCTTACCTATGGTTTTGGTACCCAAGGGGACGCAAAGTCCCATAATGGAGGGTAGTTGGACACTTATGCCTAAGCCTAAACCTGAAGCCCTATAACAAGGCCCTAAACCCTAAACCCCTAAACCCTAGTCCAAAACTCCCAGGCCCCTAGACCCTAAACCCCTAAACCCTAGTCCAAAAATCCCAGGCCCCTAAACCCTAACCCCTAAACCCTAGTCCCACTGTGCGGTAAGACTCCCAGGCGGCTTAAATACCTTAAATCCTATAACAAGGCCCTCAACCCTGAACCCTTAAACCCTAAACCCTATAACAAGGACCTAAACCCTTAAACCCTAAACCCCTAAACCCTAAACCCTGAGCCCCTAAACCCCTAAACCCTAAACCCTAGTCCCACTGTGCGGTAAGACCCTAAACCCTAAACCCGACTCCAAAAATCCCAGGCGGCTTATGTCCTTCTACGCCGGACTGGTGCTTTTCGTCTCTTTGGGCTTGGGGGCGCTGCTGACGTGGCTGGGACGAGCCGAAGTCAGAGACCACTATGGCACTATGGGTGGAGGAAACCATAAACCTTAGAGGTACTTAGATATACTTTGTTACCTTCGGTTTATTATAATCCCTAACAAACAGCTAAAATTATGATTTTTGCTAGGGGTCTAAGTTCAGTATAGAAGTCCTAAAACCGTAGCCTAAACCTTACACCACAGAAGTTTGTTGCTTAACATGTTTAATCCTAATCCTATGAGTTAGTTGAGTTTTGTTGCGTTTTTTGTGGCCCGGGTTTAGAAGGATGATTAAAGTGATTGAAGGCTGAGGGCCCAACAAAGGCCTTCGAGACAAGGGGCTTCGCAGGCCTCGAGCTGTGGTGTGGTGTAGGATTCAGGGTCAGCTCCTTGTCGACCACAGAAACAGTGAGTGCATCACGAAGCCAACCCGATTCGGCGCAGCCCAAAACACTAAACTCTAAGCACTCGTCTCAAATTTTCGGGTTGCGAAAGCCTTCAAAATCTAGACTTAACAAAAAAACGCCAGACCGCTAAAATCCTAGACCCACCCTTAACCCCCAGATCCAACCTTTTCATGGAGCTATGTAAGTAAACACCATTAAGGAGCCCTGAAAAGGTGGTCCTGGAAAGCCATAAACCTAGATCCCCCAATACCCAACCTTTAAAACTGTTGGGTTCTTGTAGTTTAGTAGGAACCGGAAAGTTTAACCGTTTACTTCTGTGGCTTATTGGAGTAGTAAGGAAAGCTTCTGACACCAAGGTTCCTTGCGGGCCTTTGGTTCTCGATCGGCGTCTTCTTCGATCCCTTCGATCAGGTCCGTAGGTTTTTCTCTCCGGATCCTAGCCTTTCATACCCGAAAGGGGCTTCGGCTTGTGGTTTTAGTCTTCTGCTTGTTCGTCTTTTGTGTGTGTGTTTCTGTCTTCTCGTTTGGTGTTATAGTGGGGTGGGGGCGGCAGGGTTTTGGGCTGATGGCTTCAAAATCAGCGAGAAATGAGCAATAAGGTCAGGTCCTGGCCGCAATGTTGATCGGGACCACAAAAAACCCAGCCTTTCAGGGCTCCTTGTTGTGAGTATATATATATATATATATCTCTCTCTCTCTCTCTCTCTCTCTCTCTCTCTGTGTATATATGTATATATGTCCTTAAAAGACCAGGTTTTTTGGAGGGGTAAGGTAGCGGCGAGAGTGAAGAGAGGCGCCCCTCGGGTAGTTGGTAGCCTGAAGGGTCCGCTGACTTTGCTGTCCTTGAATGCAGCATGCAAGGTTTGGGGTCTGCGCTCAGGTTCCATGTGCTGACTTAGTGTGTGCTTCGATAGGACACAGAGATACAAACGGGCAACACCCAAACACTACTCCACATATCTCATAGCTACTAGGCCTTGGACCCTCATGGAATGCATGCGTGGTCTTGTCAAGTTTCCTTCAAGCACACAAAACCCTAAATCCTAAACCATAAACGAACCTTTAAAGCCTCAACCCTAAACCCGAGCCGTATGAACTGGAAAGCCTACTTGGAGAATCAGTGAATCCAGAAAGTAGGTTTTAACCGGGCTTTGGAGTAGGCTAGAAACTTTGCAGTTGGGGGGGTTCCTATGGTCTGAATTGTAGATCCCTTTGTTTGGTTCACCAGTTCTTTGCCTAGGATCCTATACTATAAGTTTGGTTAACCCAAAAAGGAACTGCAATGGAGACTACAGGTAGCCGACATGCAGAGTCTTCAGATCCTGCAACCAGATTGCGAGAACCAGAAGCCTGAAGAAACCTGCAGCCTTGAACTTGGATCTCAAGAGCAGCGCCCTGAAACCTAAGCCGCTGGCTTCAGGGTTCACCTGAACCCTGAAGAATCTAGATTTTTAACGACTTATATCAAGAAATCATAGCAAGGAACCCTAAACTGGTAGGTTATTCAGGGTTACGGCAGGGTTTAGGAAACCCAAGAAGTCGAAACTAGAGAACTGCCGGCCCAATTGCCCTACATCGTGACAAACACAACGCACACCGTCAGCGCTGGCTCTGGTTCGCTGCCAGGAGGGATGGTACCAGCTATGGAACCCCATCATCAGGCAGGGCAAGACGCCAATTCGTAAACGTATTCCGTTTATAGTGCATACATACTTATAGTAAGCTATAATAACCCGGTCAAACCCTATAAGTGACTAATCACACTGCATTCGGAGTCCCTTGTATGTTTTCGTGCAGATTCGGCACAAAGTGCAGAAGGGGCTAACTTGTGGCTCGCACGCACTCCTAGCTTTCGAACTTGCTAATCGGCATAGGAGCATTCAGGTCAGGGAGGATGACATTGTCGACGTTTTGGTGGCAAATTTCTCCGGAATATTACTGCAACTGTAGCAGTCGGGAGATAACACTAGTATTTATCCGAGATTTGTAGTCTTCACAAATTCATGGCATTATTGACTCCCGAGCCTTATCCGATTGTGAGGCCCCAATACTCTTTATTCGTTCTGGAGAGGATTGAATTTGCTCTGTCAGTGCCCGATTTGCAAAGCTTTAGTAAAGATGAGTTTTGGTCTGGGGGGTGAGCACCTTCCTGCAAGTCCCTAAACAAAACACGACATGGCAATTCTTGTACTCAAGTTTCCTCGTGGACTGATGGAGGTGTTTCCTTTTCACAACATCCCAGAAAAGCCCTCAGGGTCCAAGCACATCATCATCGTAAAATCTCGAAAGTATTAACCTAAACTCGAATACCTATAATATAGCAAATAATTCAGCCGCTCTTACAACTACTTGCCTATAGGGGAACACCTTTGATGCCAAAGGATATACTATACAGGCAGTGTTTGTGTCCTTGAGACAGTTCGTTTAAAGTTCAGGGTTTCGAGCTTCGGGGTCTAAGGTGCAAAAGCGCAATGGTCTAACTATGCATCGCCCTGAGTACTTAGTTTCCTGAGTTGGTTCGAGGTTTACGGTTCAAGCTGCAACTGCGGGTTTATCTAGAGTCAAGGAGTTGACCCAGGAGTAGCAATGGAATTTCGATTAGTTGTTGCTGCTTTCATGGCCATGACATTACGAGGTTGAGGGGAGGGGATGATATGGTTCACCCCCATTCACCCCCCACGAACCATGTTAATTACAGTTATGGAAGCCTGCATGTCCTCTTACAGAACCCTCGTGTCCTGGAGGAGCGTCTACGGCGAGTGGGCGCGGGTGCTGACACTCTTCGCCGGGCTTTTGCTAGTTGCAGCCCGGCTGAAGGTTACAGGTTTTTTTGGTGTAGCAGCCAAAAGCAATTGGATAGGCTTGCCTAAAGGGCGGGTGCTTATGAGATATCCCAAGCTGACGATTCTTGTTTACTCTGTTGGGTTCTAACGAGCTGAATGTGTTGAGTTTAGAGTGCTCGAAGCCTCATGGCCGTGTGTTGGGCATTTATGACCAGATTGGGATACTGCGGTGTGGTGCTGAGTTTCAGCTGCAACCAAAACCCTATTCTAATTATTCATGCCCCGACATTATAGAACCCTACTATAGATCCCTTATAGGACCCCTTAAAAGAACCCTATTCTAATTATCAAGGCCCCCACACTAAGAACCTTGCCAGGCCATTGGCCTCCTGCTGTTTCGAGCATGGTTGCACTCACAAGAGAGGCCTGCACCATGCACGATCTACAGTCATGATTTGGCGTTCAGTGGGATGTAGGCTTCTAAGACTTGATGGATCTGGCGATCATGGTGCGTATGGCTTCCTGTTTATCCTGCAACCATCATCCCATGTTATGCCGATGGTAGAATACATTGTGAGGTTACCTTTGAGCCACTTGGCCAGTGTTCGGAGGTGTGGCTGATCCAATAAGGTGGTTGTCAATATTAGGTTCCTTTTTTGGTGTCCTCAATATAATGCGGTACCTAATATTTAGGGTACCCAAAAAGGGACCATAATTTTGACAACTACCCACTAGTTTGTGGACTAGTTGCTGTGGCGTGCATGACATGAAGTTGTTTGATGCCTGCATCCGCAACATAACATACTGAGGACTCAGAACTCTAGAGGCTGAACCAAAGCCCAACACCCGAAAGACTTAAGCCCCGCAGCCTTGCATCCCGAACCTTCCAGCCCCCAAAGCCCCCAACCGTAAGCCCTTCATCTCTAAATGCTGAACCCAACATCCTCCAAAAACCAGCAGCCCTGTATCCAAGCATCCCAGACCTCCAAACTCGCAACTGTAATTTGTAGCTTCCCAGGAGGGTTTCGGATCGAGTCTTAGAGACATTGCCGACGACCCCAGTGCTAGCGCACGCCTCGCAGCCATAGGAAAAGCTGCGGCCCCTCGTTCGCCAGCTTGGCACAGAAGGGCACGGAAACTGCGGTCCAAGGCCAGGGCAAGGTTACATTCTGCCAGGGCCCTCCGACAAAGCCCCCTACCTGCCGACCTCCACAGGCTTTCGGCACACCACTCCTGCCCGTTGTACCGCGAAGCACAGAGACGGCCTATGGGAAAGGCTGGAAAATGGGCAAAGCAGTGGCCAGACAAGCATGCCGAGCAGGACTATGGATGGCAGGACTACTCTGCCTACTACAAGGATGCGCCTGCCCGGCAACCTCGAAGACCACGAGAACCGCAAGGACCCAGCTTCCCACAGTACGATGCGATGGTGATCCGGGAGCCCAGGAATGGCAAGCCAGAGAATCCCCCCCCTGCTGGACCACCGAGTGCAGGAGCTGGCGATTTCCTCCGTACGGTCCAGAAGTTGACCAACAACCTACGCCGTGCGGAACTTCGCCTGCGAAAGTGCTCCGAGGAGCAGCACCAGGTGAACGAGAAATGGGAGTGCTTCCAGAAGGAGCTCAAGCAGAGCTTCATGAAGGAATGGTCGAGGTACCGCGAGTACAGCACCAAGCTGCAGGGCGACCAGGAGGATGCAAAGCAGCATCAGTCGGCAGCCATCGAGGAGGTGTACAAGTTCCTCGCCGACCCGACCCAGTACAAAAGCACCCCGACCCCGGATGCACCGCCGAAGGAGGCGGTAGAAGAATGGGAGCGTCTCATGCGAGGAGCAGCAGCAGAGGGCGACGATGGCCTCTCTGGGCTTTTGGCTGGCGCCCTTGGTGGAGCTGGGGCGCGAGAACAGGCGACCAAGCATATGCTCGAAGTTTTGAATGCCCATCGCCACGGACAACAAAGGGAACGAGAGCGTACCCCCCCTCGCAGAACCGCAGAAGCTCTACAGATGACGCCACCGGCACCGACAGGGCACCCTCGCTCGCACCTAGTCCTACCGCCAGATGTCGGCTTGGAAAACCCGGATGTGGCGATGCGACCCAAGGACGAGCCCTACATGTCATCGCCGGGAAGCCGCCACCTGCTCCCCTCGCCAGGGCAACGAGCAAGGACAGCACATCCGCGGACCCCTCTCAAGGCCCAGGGACGGCAACCCCTCCAAGCTCCTTCCACGGCCTCCTCCTCCTTGGCGGCAAAGCTGGAAGCCAGCAGGGAGGCCCTACGTTCCGAGATCCCGGAGACAGAAGAGGAGAAGGCGGATGGCGAGGACCAAATTATTGGCAGCCTTCGGGCAGCCAGCGGCCCCCCAGACCATATCGAGATCGACTAGCTTCGGGCCGGCCGCCCGGGGAGGCGATCGATGATGACCCTCTTCGAGACTCGATGGCTTGCTTATTAACTCGCGGCAACCAAAACATCGTTCCACTTGGTTTTGGACTGCCGCCACGACAATGGCACTACGACGGGGAGTATACCATGGTTGTGGATGACCCCCGCAATGCTGCGAGGCTTCTTCGGCCAGTCCTCACACAGCAGCACGCACACTTTTGTGGCCGCCAACTACCTTGGGGCGGACCTGATAAGGAACAGCGGACACACGATCCTCTGCATCCTTCAATCCCAACACCAAGCGCACCGCCTTGGCCTACGGCAATTTCCTTTGGGACTGCCATATGGTGGGACATCTTTGATGTCCAACACTGGGCCCTGTCATCTTGTTGGCAGTGGCTCCAGTATTTTCTAATCGGATGCGCTCAATGTGGAGCATCCCTCTCCCTGCCCTTCTTCCTCATTGTTGCGATTGTGGAGCTGATCGTCTTGGGGGCCCAGATGGTATGGTCACGTCCCTTCGCGACCCAGCAGAGAGGAAAGTGTTCCAGTTTCAGGACAAAGTGGGTATACTTTGTCTGTCCTCTGGCCATGTGTGCCTGCACGGCACATGCGGTCACTCCAGAAAGGCCACATGGGCAGGTCTGGTGGCCGGCCCGCCTCCCGCCCCCAACGGACCTGGAACTTTGGTGCAGTGGTCAGTTGACGGTGTCGGAGCAGCTCGCACTAGCACTTCAGCGAGCGATTGGCGAGCGCCCCCTTGAAAGCCAGGCGCTTTGGCCAGACAACATTGGGAGAGAAGGACCCCAACCAGTGCCACCACCTCCTCCGCAGAGGGAAATTGCACAGGAAGAGCCCGACCCGTGGCTCATCGATGAGGACGAGGAGGATACCACCCACATCTCCTTCCGCCTCTTCTCGCCCCACTTCGAGTCGGAGTCTATCGACATCTCGTTGACCTTCCCACTTGTGGCTGAGGATGTCCTCGACTTCCTCAGGGACACGGCCCGAGTCATTACAGCCCCCTGGCTCACAATGGCGGCCTTCACGCAGCCCCAGCTGCACAATGACTACGGCAGTGTTGTCATCTTTCCAAGCTGGCTGAGGGTTTCTCCACAAACGGTGTTGGTCCTCGATGCGAGCGAGATTGGACAGGGCCAGTTCGCCTTCTACCAAAAAGGCGACCTCACCAGGGCCCAAGTCCTCCAGCAGCTTGAGGCGATCCCTGAGTTTGCGATCGAGATCTTTGCATTTGGACGCCGAACCCCGATGACGGAGGCTGAAGCCCTTGAGCCTGTCCTGGCTGGTTTGATCAAGGTTGTCAGGAGAGGGGCTCCGGTACAATGGGCCTCTAGTATCGAGCCCAGACTCGCACTACGAGCAAATTGGGACCCGGACACCCCACACCCCGACCATGTGGGAGGGTCTCATATTGCTTTCCAGACCTCTACGGACCAGAAGCTCCACCGGGTCTTCCACGATGACCTCTTCACCCCCCTCGGCGTTGCGAGCGAGATCTTCGACAGGGAGCAGCAGCAAATCTGGGTCCGAGCCCCCACGATTCGGCCTATTGGTCTCTACTGGAAGGGAAGACGGGTACACTCCGTCATTGCTGTTGTTGATGCCTTTGAACACCCTCCCATCGACTCGTACATCGTGACGCTAGATCTTCGAGGAGTTGGACTATGGCCGATTTGGGTAGCCCTCCAGCAAAACTGCTTCTTCCCGGGCGACGTCGTTGAGGCACTCGACATCCACTTTTGCCAGGGCTTCTCCTTGGTTGTTACGGGAGGGCGAAAAGGCCGTACCCCGGGCCTGCTCTACATTCAGGACGGCGAGCTCCTCGAAGCTTCATTGCGTGCAACAGCAGACATCACTCCAACCCAGCATGAAGGAGGAGAGAGCGAAGATGATGATGAGGGGTCGGACAATGGTGACACAGACTCAACCCGGGACATGCTCCCATCGTCTGATGAGCTGCCAGACGCGCCCTTTCCGACGGGCCCGGGTCCTTTTGGTCCCCCACCACCACAGCCCGTAAATCGGGACCGAAGCAGGTCCCCAGCGAGAGGCCATTCCGCCTCCCGGGACCAACCCGAGATCATCTCCCTCATCGACCACTTCCCCAAAAGAGACGTTGAGTGCTACAGTCTCTCCGCCAATGCGATTGCGCTCCCCCAGGCGGACTTCAACCCCATGGTGATCTATCGGCCGTGGCCTCCGACATGGCTGCGATTTGAGACGTCCTGCCTGAACGTCCCCCTCTGCACACAGTCCGCACTGCAGACCTTCTGGCCGTGGACGGCTGTGCTCTCTCTTTGTGCAAGCCATGGACCCCCCCATCTTCGGCTGTACACGGATGGCTCCTGGCTTGAACAAGCAGGCCTTGGTGGTTTTTCGGTCGTCGTCGTGCTGGAAGTGCAGAGTAAGTGTGCACTCTTTGGGGCGATCTGCGCTCAGACGCATGGGAACGCTGTTTCCCCATGGCCACAAGCGGGCCCCCAGGCCCTGCGCAACGAGCAGTTTGCTTTGGCTAGTGCTATGCTCTGGGTTTTCCAGTCCTTGCCCTGGATTGTCTTCGCGTCGATCACCTTCTGCTACGACTGTCTAGCTGCTGGTATGGCAGCTTGTGGGGAGTGGGCCCCCGACTGCGAGATGATGCAGCGAATACGCCACCTGCAGCTCTGGCTTATTCAGGTTGCAGGAGCACCCGTGGCCTTCGAGCACGTCAAGGCGCACAGCAACCACCCTATGAATGAGCTCGCTGACTGTATCGCTAAGGCGGCAGCAAGCGGTGACCTCTCAGGACTAGCCCCGCCTGATGAAGTTGTGGCCTTTCTCCTTGAGAACAACCTCTCCTGGATGGCACCTGCTCTGGACCCCACTCAGCAGCAGGCGCTTCCCTTTCAAAATGGTGGCAGCTTACAGTGGGAACCGGAAGCCACTTTTGCTGCCTTCCAACTCCGACCCAGTCAGCTTGTCCCCACCACGACCAAGCAGATTGGGCGTCAGACCACAGCAACTACGAGCATTGAGATGGTTGCGATTTCCTTGAACGCCCAAGGCCTCCGCGACAAATGCCGATACCTTGAAGAGCAGTTTACAGAGGAAACCTGCCATATTGCTTTCCTGCAGGAAACAAAGATGCCGGTTGGGGTTTGCACATCTCGGGAGTATCTGAGACTGGGTACCGAGGCTCACAAACACTGGGGTGTGGGAATTTGGGTGAGCCGAACCCGTGGCCTCTTTACGACCGATGGACGGGCTGTGCACGTGCAGGAACAAGACTTCTACGTGGTCAAAGAATCCCCGCGTCTCCTGGTAGTTGAGGTCTCTGTGGCCGGTCTACGCTTTGTGCTCTTCGCGGCGCACTGCCCACATTCAGGTCAAAAAGCAGCTGCTGCCGAGTTCCTCAGCGACCTCCACTCCGTGCTGGCCCCCCTCAAAGGTGCTCATGTGATCCTTGGAGGTATCGACCTGAATGGTAGACCGCCCGACTCATACGAACAGGTCACTGGGGAACTTCTTTTTGGCGACCCGGACGACACCGGCCACGCCGGTTGCCATCTTCCAAGCCCTTGGACTCTGGATTCCGGCAACCTTCTCCCAGTTCCACCAGGGGGAATCCCATACATACAGGCATCCCCAAGGGCATCTTCACCGCCTTGACTTTGTGGTCCAAGGGGGAAAATGTGCTGTACATCAGGTTGACAGCAGAGTCCTCTATGGCCTTGATGTTGGCGGTTTTGCTGATGATCACTGGGCGGTTCGTGCTGCTTTTGCAGCCACCATCCCCCAGGCAGGTGAGCAGACCCGCCTGTGGAGGCCCAAGTACAATTTGGGAAAACTGACCAGCCAGGAGGGAAAAGCCAAGGTATCAGAGGCCATGCTCGCCTACCACCCGCCGCCGTGGCAGACCCACCCTGACGAACACTGCCACCACTTCACCTCCTATGTCCAAGGCATCCTTGATGAGCACTTCCTCAAGCAGCCTGATGACCCGAGAGCTGAGTACATCCCTGACAAGGTTTGGCGTCTACGCCAAGCTAAACTGGACCTGAAACTTCGGACTAGGAGTCGGACCAACTTGTGGGACAGCCTCCTCCACAGAGCTCTTCTCCAATGGCGACACGGGGTAAACATGGGGGTCGAGAAGCTCCTGTGCAAACAAGGCTTTCTCTACCAGCTTGCTTCGACAGCAGTCGTCTATGCCACTTCCCTGATCAAGAGGGGCATCCGCACTGCCAAAGCAGACTACCTGAAGAACTTCGCTGCTAAAGGAGGGTCACACCCTGCTGACATCCTGTGCCACCTGAAGAAGGCTGGAATAGGGGGCTCCAAGGTGAGGCAGCCTTCTCGTCAACTTCCACTCCTGCTGGACCCCGCAGGGAAGCCTGTCAAAACTAGACAGGAGCGCGACCTGCTGTGGCTCCGCCATTTTGGCAAACAGGAGCTTGGACAGGTTGAGACAGTCCACCAATTCCTTGCGAGGGACAGCCACCCGGTCTTCGTCGATCAGCACCTGCATTGGCAAACGACCGACTTGCCGAGCCTCACAGAGATCGAGACCGTCATCCGTCTCGCACCCAAAGGACGTGCCACTGGCCTGGATGGAATCCCATCTGAGGTACTGAAGGCTGCGCCAGGCCCGATGTCCGCTGCACTGCAATCCCTCTTCACCAAGGCTTCCTTGATGCTTTGTCAGCCTCTCCAATGGCGAGGAGGAATATTGTATGAGTGCTGGAAACAAAGTGGCAAGAAATCCGACCCGGCGTCCCACCGCAGCTTGTTCGTGTCTTCGACTGTTGGCAAGTGCTTCCACAAGGTGACGAGAAGGAAGATCCAGGGTCTCGTCAATGAGGGGCTGCACGAATTTCACATGGGAGCGAGGAAGGGGCAACCGGTCCTTTTCCCGGCGGCCTACATCCTGTCCTTCCTCCGACGGGCCAGCTCAAGGGGTCTTTCTGTAGGCGTCCTCTTCTTGGATGCCGAGGCGGCCTATTACAAGATATGTCGCGAACTCGCCACGGGCACCATTGAAACCGATGCTGTCGTTGTCTCCATCCTTGAAAGATTTCGTATCCCCCCAGATGACCTCCACACGCTGATGCAAGAGGTCTCTGAAGGAGGGATGATGGCAGATCTGGGCGTCCCACCAACGATTCGCCACATGGCAAAAGACCTCCATGCGAACACCTGGTTCGTATCCCCGCATGGGGACGGGAGCCTCCTCTCGCGCACAAGTGCGGGAAGCAGGCCAGGCGAAAGCTGGGCGGACGTAATCTTTAGTTTCGTCTTCGGCAGAGTCTTGGCCCGGATCACGGAAGTGGCAAGGGGTGAGCAACTTCTCGACAGCATCTGTGCCGACACCTCTGAAGGGCCATTCGCGGCCCCGGGCCGGGGTGATGAGGCCTGTGCCAGTGACGCCACTTGGGCTGATGACAGCTCGTGGGCCCTCACGGACAAGTCCCCAGTTCGCTTGTTGGACAAGGCTACGCGGCTCTGCTCAGTCGTTCTTAGCCAATGCCAGAGCTACGGGCTTGTCCCGAACTTGAAACCGGGCAAAACAGCCCTGCTGCTCCGCTTGTCTGGCAGCGGAGCAAAAGGAGCTCGGCGAAGCTACTTTGCGCACGGTCGCCGCACTGTGCGACTTCAAGATGTGGCCCTGGAGGTGCAGGTCACGAACCACTACAAGCACCTCGGGGGCATGGTTGATGACCGCGGCTACGGCACTTGTGAGGCCAAGAGAAGATTGGCCATTGCTGCCACTGCCTTCGACAAGGGCAAGGACCTTCTCTACCACAACACCACCATCCCCCTTTCAGTGCGTGCCTCCATTCTCCAGGTTGCGGTGACCTCTACGCTGCACAACATTGCGTTGTGGACACCGACGGGACCGCACTGGGCACAACTATGTGGAGGATATGCGCGTTTGGTGAGGCGGCTCCTGACGAAAGATGTCAATTCCGAGGCCCTCCTGCACATTCCTGCCGTCTTTGCCTTTGTCGCAGCAGAATGTCCGCCGCTCCCCATAGTCGCGACCAAAGCCAGATTATCTCTGCTCGTTTCACTGGCAAAAACCGCCCCGGTTGCTCTCTGGGCAGCATTGCAGGAGGAGCAGAGCTGGCTGCAAACCGTGCAAGATGACCTGTCATGGCTATGCCACGGGGAAGAGGACCGGTGGCCAGCCTTGGGTCCGGCACACTGGCCACAATGGCGGAGTCTCCTTTGCGATGCTACGATGTGGTTCAAAAGACAGGTGGCGAAGAAGGTCACAGCGGCAGGTGTTGCCTACTACAAGGAGCAGCGGGCTGCCCTGTCCCTGTGGGCCATCTACCGTAAAGCCTGGGAACATTTGCCAGTTGTGCACTCGCAAAGCACACAGCATGTCTGCCGGCCGTGTGCCAAGACTTTCCGTACAAAGGGGGCACTGGGTGCCCACTTTCAGAAAACCCATGGCCGCTGTGCGAAGTACAGATCGGTAGTGAGTGGTACGATCTGCCACTCCTGTGGTGTCCAGTACTGGACGGTTGGACGTCTGGCCCGGCACCTGAGAGACACCCCGGCCTGTGTTGCGACTCTCCAGGCCAGTGGCGCGACGGTTGCTACGCTGGCCCCTGGCATTGGCAGCCGGGTGCGACGCAAAGCTGACCAGGAGGAGTACCACCCAGCGCCACCTACGAAGGTTGCCGAGCGCGTGCAGGGGCAAGGCAGCGAAGAATGGGATGCGGTGCAGAAGGCAGCCCACTTTGCCCTCAGTCAAGCACTGCAGACGGTGGACCTACCGACCGATGCGGGAGAGGCTCTCTGCCTCATTCAGAAGGTGTTGGAGGAGTTCCCGCTCTACTCCGACGAAGCCCAGGCGATTGTCTTCGAGCTCTCGAATGAGATCTCCCTGGTTGAGGACGAGCTTCTTCAGGAAAGCTGGACGCCGGCTGTCAGCTCGGCGATCCGGAAGGCTGTTGACACCTTCCTCTCCACTGAATGGGAGATTGGGCGAGAGATCGAGGGACCGCGTGTACCACCAGTCACCTTTGAGACGGCCATGGGCGAGACAAAGGGTTTCGATTGGGACACCATCCTCTCCCAGCTCGATGCAAAGTACGGGACCCGGCGCGCTTCAGCTTTTACACTGCCCCCTGACTGGGAAGCCGAATGGTCAAGGCGTAGTGCTGAAGTTAGCTCTTCGGCCGTGCTAGAACGATTGTGGTGCTGGATCCCAAGGGTCTTACAAGAGGCATGGGCACACTTCCTGAATGGAGGTAGAGTACAGCTCTCAGGCCCTGCAGACTTTTGGGCGAGCCCACTAGCGGAGCCATTTAGAAGCTTCCGCTGCGATGTGCATACTAATTAGGCTGCGTACTTCCTCTGAACGCCTGCAAAGCAAAGCAAAAGCTTCCCAGGTCGTCTTCTGCTGTTTTTTGTAGGCTTTGCATGCTTTCCTTCCGGCTTAGAGTTCGGTGTTTCGGGCGACAGGCCCGGGCTAGGTTATATAGGCTTCAGGGTTTAGGTATAGGAGCTTGGCAGTACTGAGTCAAGGCAAAGATAAGAGCAAGGGCAAGGAATCCAAGGGTGCCATGCGCACCACCTTCGTCAAAGACATCAAGATCGGCTCGGAAACACAGCAGCTTTGCATCAACTTTCAGCTCGGCCGGATGCGCCTTTGTTCATGCATGCGCATATCCCAAAGCAGATGGAACGGCGTGCGGCGACACGATGGGCAGACGCCTCACTGAGCTCGTGAAATCACTAACCAGTCAATGATACCCGATAAGCGCAACAGCAGAGTTTACGGCTTTAGGCTTTCCGGCCTAGAATGAAGGGTATTTACTTGGAGGGTCGGGGGACTTAGTAAGGAGGTAGTAAGTAGACTTATAAGTACCCTAATAGGGACCCTAAATAGGGGTTACGATACTTACAAGTACCCTTATAGATCCCTTATAGTAGCCCCTGTAGACCCCTTTAAAAGGAGCCCTTTAAAGGGAACCCTAGGGCCCCTATTTACTAAATCCCCTAAAGACCCTCCAAGTAGGGCGTCGGGTCAAGACCTGAGGGTTTTCAGGCCTCAGGCTGCTGGCGCCTCTCTGGGGCACATGCTTTTAAGGATTAAGAGCTAAGGGTTCAGGGTTAGGTAAGGGTTTAGGGTGTAAGGTTAGGTAAGGGTTTAGGGTGTAAGGTTAGGGAAGGGTTTAGGGTTAGGTAAGGGTCTAGGGTGATATTCTTGTTGTTTTTGTTTTTGTTTTAGGATCTATACCCAGAGCCCCTAAAGTAGTTCTTTTTTGGGAGTACCTAATAGGATTCTAAATATGAGCCCAAAAAAGGAACTACCTTAGGGCCTTAGGGGTCATCTATCTTACCGTTGGTTAGTAGGGAATGGGTTTTACCTATAGTCTCCATTGTAGTTCCTTTTTGGGTTATCCAATTTTATGGTGAGGACCCTATAATAGGGAGTTTGGTTAACCAAAGAAAGGAGCTACAATGGAGACTATAGGTAGGATCTACAGGGTCAGGAACTTCGGATTTTAGGCAGCGCTGTAGCTTAGAATTGTCACAGTCGGGTAACATTTTACATTGTTCTGGGTACTTAAACCCAATAAGGAATAAAAGTATACATCTTTAACCCTATTCCAACAATGAGCTAGTTAAGACTTTACTACGTTAAGCCCCAAGGCCCGAAAGCCTCCGAACTTAGCAGCCGGCTCAGGTTTCCAGTCTCGAACTTATGGAGACAGGTGCCTACAAATTCGATACAAGGGTTCATCATATAAGAGCCTACGCAAAAAAAGTAAGTTATAGTCATAGTTTTAGGGCTTAGTACAATATAAAATCCAACAGACAAGTAGGCTATACTTTTACTGGTCACGGTTGAGTATCATACAAGAGCCTACAGAAACTCAGGTTGTAGTTTTAGCTTTTAGGGTTTAGTTTCGTAAAAGATCCTCTACAGAAAAGTAGGTCTTTAGGGTTTAGGGCCTAGGGTAGCCTCAGGCAAACATCAATGCTCTTGCAGGCTCGATGAGCCCATAGGGCTGCTACATGCCTCCTTCGAGTTCATGTTCCAGCTCCTCGGCCACGTCTTAGGGTTTACCTGGAGTAAAGGGTTAAGGGCACCGGTTTTTATAGAGGTACTATTAGGGTTTAGGGTCTAGCTGGAGGTTCCTGAGACTTAGTAGGTACGGTTTGTAAGTACCTTAATTGGCGTTATAAGTAGTGAGAAGTATAGTGAGTTACCTCATTCATAACTCTAGTTGCTAGGTCCCATGATCGTTTAAGTAGAGATACGGCTTCAGGTTAAGGTCTCGCAGGACTCGGATTTGAGGGTAGTTCGTCCCCCCGAAAAATACGTCCCTAAAGAAGTGCTATGGTCTATTTGGTGCGCCACTCCCCGGCTGTAAGGCCGTTCAGTCATGCGTAGGCTTGTTTCTACCCAAGGGCCGTACTTCTGAAGCCTAAACCTAAACCCGAAAACCCTAAACCCTAAACCCTAAGCCCCTAAACCCTAAGCCCCTAAACCCTAAAGCCCTCAGCCCCTCAGCCCCTCAACTTTAAGCCTGGCCCCTTTCAGCCTTCAGCCGTATTATCCAGGTTCGAAATACAAAAAAAAGAAAGATGGCTTTTGGGTTTTGGGGCTTCTTGGACTTAAGGTTGAGGTGCTCTGCATGTGCATACAGACAGAGGGTTTGAACAAAGTGGAGAGCTAGATTGCAAAAGCTTTGCATCCAGAGCCGCATTTCACACTCTTGTCCCCAACTCCCGGCCAGACTTGCCCTAAACCCAGCTATGTCCCTCATGTCCTTGTTTCGGAGGCTTTAATCATCGGACTCCTTGCCTAGCCAACCCAGAGCCTGAACTCTAAATCTAGGGGCCCCCTTTACTAAAGCTTTACTAAAGCTGAATAGTAGCAAAAGTGTACCTTCATTTCAGTGGGCCACCGGGAAACCTGGAAATGCTAAACCCCAGATTCAAATTGATTCCTTGAGCAGACTTCCTGGCTCAGGGGGACATCTTCGCTTCCTTTCATGGTCCTGGCGCCCCGGCTTGCCATGGTTCAGATTTAAGGCTAGCAGAGGCAACGGCTTAGAGATATAGACGTCTCAGGCATCCTTGCTGAACAGCTTGGCTTCTGCCTTCTTTCGATTCGAAGCAAGGGTTCAGGATTTAGGACCTAGGGTTATAGGTCGGTTAAGTTTAGGGTATTACATTATTAGCGGGTTTATAGGGTGTAGGACTTAGGGGTGTAGAAGTTCTCGTCGGTCACTGCTAGAATGCATGTTGCGAGATGTTTCACTGCCGGCAAACCAGGGCACCACTGGTTCGAGCACGGGTACATGTGGGAGTTAGGGGTACCTCATTTTGGGGTCCTTATAATAAGCATCCTACTATTTAAGGTACTACATTAGGGTCCCCTATTTTCGGAAACTCCCATGTACCTTCTTGCGTTGTTACTGTTAGTCCGGACGCCAAATTGCAGTAGCTTCAGGCACCCATTTGAGTTTGATTTGCTGCAGACTTTGTCGAGAGCTTACAAGCAGATGTTCTTCAACCCTTATGTAGAATCCCTTAAAGGAGCCCTTAAAGGATCCCTTAAAGGAACCCTTAAAGGAAGGAGCCTAGGAAGAAGAACTGAACCACGTCGAAAAGAAGAGCTGGAAGAGCCACGGAGCATGAACCAAGCACAGCCCTTGCGTCTCCTTAGGAGTTTTACTTTGATTTCTGTTCATATAAACCCAAGAGAATATTAAAAGTACTATGTTGATTGTGGTTCCAAGAGGGGTGTAGAGCCACCGGCAGCTTTCAGAATTCCGGCAGCTGGCAGAACCAGTTTAGAGCTCGGCCCCCTCATCGGATATATTTCGTCCTGTGTGCCTCGAGAGGAGCCAAAAATCAGGTCCCTAAATTGGGACCCTAGTCTGCTAAAGGGTACTTTGTGGGACCCCTTTTCGGGATCACTTTTGGATCCTCCAGGGGGTCTGGGTAACCCGAGACCTCCCACAAGCGATGCCACTTGATCTTGGGCTTTAGTAAGTAAGGTCATAAGTACCCTAATCGGGGGTATAAGTAGTTGTAAGTATAATAGTTACCCTAAATATATCCGTCGTTACTAAGTCCCATGACCCTTTAAGCGCGAGTCGCGAGACACATCTGCCACGAAGCTTCGAGGTTCCTTTCGGCTCCTCCGTGATGACTCTCGCGCCGCTTGGGGAAGAGGAGGGTTTAGGGTTTAGGGGCTCCTTGAAGGGTTCCTTAAGAGTACCTTCAGAATTCGCGGTTTTAGGTTTGGGGTTTAGGGTGTCCTTGTAGGCTTAGGGTTCAGGGTTTCCTTGAATGGTTCCTTGAAGGCCGTAAGAGTACCTGCAGAATTTTGGTTTTCAGGTTTAGGGTTTAGTGGTTCCTTGAAGGCCTTAAGAGGGTCGTAAGAACTAGGGCTTTTAGGTCTAGGGTTTAGAGGTTTATGGGTTTTTAGGGTTTTAGGCCCTGTCTTGTTGGTCTTAGAGTTTGAAGTCTAGGGTTTGATGATAAGGGTTTAGGTTAGGGCTGTAAGAAATCATGATACCTAAGGGTACATGGGCCCATGTGGTAGGAGGCTGGTTTCCTAAACCGTGTTTCGGATTTCAACTTGCTACAATCCCCACACCTTGGAGATCCCTCAGGGCGAAGTACACTTTAGTAGTATAAATTCCTAACCTAGGAGTTCTACTGTCTAGATCGCCCCAATGTTGGGACGATGAGCCGATAAACTCCCGGGTTCACAGTCGCCGATTCCGATTTGGCGGCGTCCTTGGATGTGACAGAAGGCCTTGCGGCTGAGCTCTACCCGGAAATTTGGAAACCGGGTCACGGAGGGTCATGTTTTTGCACACCACAGTGACGCGGGACTGCTCCTTCATCAGACTACGTGAACGAATTAAAACCCTTTGTCTTGCGAACACAGAGTGGAGGAGGGTCCCGGTCCGCATAACGGGGGAGCCAAAAGGCGTCCAGCCAAGGCGGTCCTGGGGCGTGGTGGGCTCGGTGATCAACGGGAGGATGGATCAGACCGAGCAGCACAGACAGACGAGTTCCTTCTCATGATCGCGACCTCCCTGGCCGAGACGAGTCTTACGATTGACGGGCTCGTCGTCTGTCGTGTTCGATTCGGGACTCATCGGAGAGAGCCGGTTCGAGGCAGTGTAGAATGCAGAGACGAAACTCAACAAGTCTGAAGAGCCGAAGACCCCTAAACTCTGCAGCCTCAATTGCAATTGATCCGTAACCTAAAGTTGAACTTAGACCCCTAAACCCTAAACCCTGAACCCTATAAACATAAGTAAACCTTGCACTCTACGGTCTGGCCTTGAGGGTGCTGTGTGGCCTGAGATTCTGGAAGGGGCCCCAGGACTTCGGTGCGTTAAACTACTACTTATTGGCTGTAAACTCAACTTTTGAACTTTTGGGGCTCTGATAAGGTAGTCGATGCTGAAAGTTTCAGCTTTTGTTTTATTGGGTTTTGGGCCAGTGAGACTATGGTCATCCCCAGAAAGTTGGAGCATGGACTTAGGATGATAAGCCCTGGGATTCCCTCTGTTTTGCCCTAAGGGCGTTGGGATACTGATGTTCCAACTATCCTGGGTTCCTGCATTCCAAGCAAGGGCCAACTCAGAATTCCGGGAGGATCTAGACGGTAGAACCCTTAATGGGAGGTTCTTATATTTAGAGTTTAGGGTTTAGGGTTCTTTTATATTTAGGGTTTAGGGTTTAGGGTTCTTTTATATTTAGGTTTTAGGGTTGAGGGTCTTAGGTTCTTTGGTAGTACAGGGTCCCTAAGTTAGGGCGTCTTCTTGCTAGATCCTCCCAGAGGTCTGGGTAAGGAGTTGTTTGCATGTCCTCAAGGCGATTGAAAGACGGCGTCGCATCTGAACATAGGGGCCTAAACACTTACCAACACTATTTTGGGGGCTCTTTGTTATAATTTTTGTAAAAATGAGCCCAAAACCCTATTCTACTTGTTGCGGCCCTTATCTTGCAGAACCCTACTATAGATCCCTTATAGAACCCGTTTTCAGACTCCTTTAAAAGAGCCCTATTCTACTTGTATTAAGGCCCTTATCTTACAGTCAAACTGCGGGGCTCCAACGTTCCAGCGATTTGGCGCGTGGAACTCCAGGGTTCTGAAATGGAAGACACTGTGAGTTTCGGCGTGGGGATTTCCTTTAAAGGGGTCTATAAGGGCTACTATCAGGGTTACTATAAGGGCTACTATAAGGGCTACTAACAGGGCTACATAAGGGTTACTATAAAGATGTAGCATAGGTGCCTTAATACTTACCTACACTATTTTGATCGACTGGTGAAGCCCAAGTCCTAATTCCCCTGAGGCAAGGGTTGTTGTAGCTGTCGAGACACTTCGGAGGATGTCGCAAGTCAGATATATCTGTTTACAGCTAAGCATCCCAATCGCAAATCCCGCTTATAACCCTGCATGATACTGCAATTACAGCTGCAATCGCTTGACCAGCACCGTGACAAGCAAGCGTAAAGTAGTACAGGGGGCCTGTATAATTGCCAATACTATTTGGGGGTTCCTTTTTATAAGTATAGTATAATGGGCGCTAAAATCCTATTCTAACTACAACAGCCCGTATATTACCCGAGCACAAACGATTGGCTCTAAGGACAGCTCGGGCAATGAACCCGCAAGCTAAAGCCCAGAAGTGCCGCAAAGCATCCCCGTCGTCATCCTAGGGCGCTGGGCCTGTTTGCTTGGAGTTTCATGTTGGCACCGCGGCGGCAAAGTTTAGGGTTCAGCTTTCGCGGTTGAGGGGGCTCGCAACCTGATTCTTCCTACTCATGCTTGAAGACTGACCGTCAATGACTCGAAGTAGTGGAATGAATGACTTCGGTCGGCTGCAGTTGTCGTTTCGATAGCCACGGTCAAGATACACATATGAACTTGCATGTACGGCCGAATCCCGGAGACACAACTCATAACGCTTTTGAAGAATAATTGCAAAACCCTTGCGGCAGCAGAACATCTACAAGACCTAAAACTGCCCAGCACCATCGTTTATACACGACCGTATCTGTAGCGCCTTGCGAAACTATTACGAACACCGCACGAAGACGCTTTAAGCCACGAGCAGCAGCCCCTTCGGACGACGCTTTAGAATTACCTATACTATTTTTGGGTGTTCCTTATTATACTTATATAGTTTAATGGGCCACAAAACCTTGTTTTAAGTATTAAGGCCCCTATACTACAGAATGCTACTATAGATCCCTTGTAGACACCTTTTTGAGAACCCTTTAAAAGAACCCTATTCTAATTATATGAAGGCCCCTTTCTGTTGGTGTTGCTGAATGGGGACCCAATCGTCAGTTCGAAGTGTTGAAAAAGGTTTCGTTCTCTGCCGGAGACATACCTGGGCAAAATATGTGTTTCTTAGTCTCTTTAGTATCCTTGGGATTTGTTGTTCATATAAGACCCAAGAGAATAAGTATTCACAATATTTCTCATCAAGGTTCCAAGCGGGTATAGTGGTATATTCCTAGCACAGTCTTCTTTGTGCAGCTCCGTTTCTGGATTCATCAGTAACACAGATCTTGATGCCATACATCATATTATACATCCATGAAGGTGCAACCATAATTTGGGTTAGGGTTTAGGAAGGCGCCAACATCGGGATCCCTATTCTACTCCCTATGTATACATGTACCCAAACAGTATGTACTTTGGCCCTGGAGTACCGATATAGGGACTACTTTCAGGCCTTATATACTATTCGCATACTGTATGAGTATATACATGGACTTTTAGGGCCTTAGGGATTGTGGCATGTGAGATCTTACAGCTCCTGCTTGGGTACTTGGATCCTCGTGGAAACCCCTCAACCCCTGTAGCCTCAAAACTCTGCGCCCTCATATGGGTATATACTATTGGACGTCGGTGGGCCGAGGGCATGAGTGAGCTTGCCAATCTGGATCCTGTTCAATCTGCCTACATCTTGAGGGCTGTAAGTTTAGGGTTTTAAGGTTTTTGGTTTAGGGTCTCGGGTTCGGGGTTGAAGCTCAGGGTTTCGAGTCTAGTTTTGAGTTAGGATGTTGGGGTCTAATGACATGTTTGCCTGTATGATGGGTGAAGTACGTCTCCATCATGGGTGAAATACGCCTCCTGTTGACTACAAAAGGTTTCCGGGATCTCGGTGTTCTTCCCAACCCTGCTCTTTGTAAGCACGTTTAAGCATTGTCTCCCCCAGTCATGAACATCAAACCCTAAACCCCTTTCGAAGCCGAGTGTTTTACTTCGACCAAAAACTTCCTATGGCAACGTGGACTTAGTGTGTTTTTACTTCTTTGGGAAAACGGTGTCTTTATAGAAACATCTCAGAAGTCCTAAACCCCGAACCTTAACAGCCCTAAACCCTAAACCCAACAAGACACACACCGTTTGCCTCCGAAGGAGAGGCGAGCCTTGAGCCTACGTAAAGGGTCATGCGACTTAGTAACTTAATGGGTTCCTGAAAGGGGTTCCTAAAGGGATCTATAAGGGTTCTATAAGGGGGTTTAAGGCTACTTCAAGGGTCACGGGACTTAGTTTACTAAATGGGTTCCTTAAAGGGGTTCCTAAAGGGATCTATAAGGTTTCTATAAGGGAGGTTAAGGCTACTTCAAGGGTCATGGGACTTGGTATCTTAATGCGTTCCTTGAAGGGGTTCCTAAAGGGATCTATAAGGGTTCTATAAGGGGGTTTAAGGCTACTTCAAGGGTCACGGGACTTAGTATCTAAATGGGTTCCTTAAAGGGGTTCCTAAAGGGATCTATAAGGGTTCTATAAGGGGGTTTAAGGCTACTTCAAGGGTCATGGGACTTAGTATCTAAATGGGTTCCTTAAAGGGGTTCCTAAAGAGATCTATAAGGGTTCTATAAGGGGGTTCAAGGCTACTTCAAGGGTCATGGGACTTAGTAACTAGGCTTAAACTTAAGGTATCTATACTTATGATTACTTAAAACCCCACTTAATACTTAAGGTACTTATAGCCCTACTTACTAAGTCCCATGATCCTCCAAGTAGATCCTGAACTCCCAAGCCTTTCAACCCTAAAACGCGAATCCCAGAAAGTTGGAACATTGGTTTTAGAAGGATTTGTGCGAGGATCCCTTGTAATTTACCTTAAGCCGTAAGGGCATAGGAGAATGGTGTTCCAACTTTCTGGCTTCTAATATAAACCTTTTGAACCTCCCGATCGCTCTGAGGTGCTGAGTGCTGGGCCGATCGACTCCAAAGGAATTTACATCAACGGCGACCACTACCCCAGCCTCTATAAGAGACCCGGGTGCATTATGCTTGTCCCTGCCCTTTTCGAGGGTCTGATGCAAGGGCTAAGACTTCTGGGCTTGGGATTGGGAGTATGAGATGTTGGATTGCGGGCTTGCGGTGTGGAGGATTTAGCCACGGGTTCCCATACGAGGTAAGGCTTTTGGGAATGACCCTGCTTTACGATACGGCTTGAAGGGCTCCAGAACAAGGCATTTCGGTCACAACTGCCATGCCAGATCAGTCGTTTCGGTATGCCTTTGCAGGCCACTGCACTTTGAGGGTTTTAGTCATAAGGACCGATAGGATGGTAGGGGGGAGGGGGGGAGGGGACTATACTTCCTCAAATAGGCCCTCGCCCACCTCAACTTATTGCTCCTCTAAGGGTCCCTATAATTTAGGGGTTGAGGGTTTACGGGTTAAAAATGATCAGGACGCTCCAGAAGCCGCTCAATGGAATTTGGTGGGACTTGGCAGTGGCTTTGCTCAACTGTGCGCTTGTTTTCGTTGTTTAGGTTTTGGGGTTCAGGGTTGGTGCAGTTCTTCGGGGTTACTTGGAGAGCACTAGAAGGGTTAGAGTGTAGGGTTCGTGCTTCAGGGTTTTAGTGTTCCCCTATAAGCCTGAGGGTCCATGCACGCATACAGTATTGATAATACTTTGGCCCTTAAGTACCATTATAGGGAGTACTTGAAGGCCTGAGTATATGCTGCATGTGTGTATATGCAGCCCTAATATACCCTAAGTATCCCTAGACCTTTATGATACCCTTTGAAGGAAGAAAACAACCCGTTTCATAAGTTCATGGAATCTTGGGTTCTTCAGTCACCTGAAAGTTGGGCCCTCCTAAGCCTTAAACTTTCAGGGATGTGGGGTTGGAGGCAACTGGAACTAGGACCTAGAGTAGGCCCTTATTCCCTTTTAAGGGTCCAGGTTCCCTTATAACCCCCTTTAAACCAAAAAGGGCACCCTTTTTTTCCTAGGTTACTCTTGGGTCTAGTATCAGAATCCTAAGCCCTTAACCCTAAGCCTAAATTCCTCGGTTACTCTTGGGTCCAGGGAAGGACATGAGTTAAAGTCCCAAGATCCAGCCTTCACTCTTTGGTGCGTTGTGTTCTGAAGCGATAGCCGCGTAATCGTTTGATTGTGTTATTGCCAATGCTTCCCCAAACCCGGTACCCCTAAACCCCGATCCAAGCCCTAAACCTTAGCGCTTCTAAACCCCTAGGCCCCTGAGCCTTTAACCCCTAAACCCAAAGCCCAAAGCCTCTAAGCCCTAAGGCCTAAACCCTAGACAGACCCTCGATCCGGAAGACGGCAAACACCAGAATGCACTGCTGACCTCCTTAAAAGCTGTGTAGAGGCATAAATGATTCATAGCCTCGACCCCCCCCCCTATTTCATTCAGTAGGGCGTATAAGCCGGATCCCACCATTATGGCGGTTTGTTCAACCTGAGTCTAGGTAATCCTGCACACACCCAGAAATCTCTGACCCGAAGCCCTTCACCCCACACCTGTAACAGTACACACGCGAACACACACACACACACACACAAGCAACAAAAGCATTGAGGTCCGAAATCCTAAGCCCTAGCTAGGTTCAGGGACTAGAGTCGTTTTGTGTAAATTGTGTTGACTCCTGGAAACCATTGCGGTTTGATGATGTGCAACGGGTGGAATGGACGAGCTCGGCCTTCGACCTCAACACCGTGCCATGCACATGCTATCAGACGACGACTTGTTCAACAGGTCAGCCATTTGGATTGCCGGCGTCGGGCCTCCTCTCAAAGGGTATGCCCACGTGGGCCAGCAAGTACCTACCTTCTAGCTGCCCAGCATACTCGAGATCCGGAAGCTTATGTTCCTTCATTCATGCTGCCAGCCCGAGATCAGCATGGCTTCATCTTCCCCCTCGAACCGATGCACTACGCGCAGGCCCTGGCTGAGGCATTATCCCAGAGAGCCCAATACCCCATAATTCAGGAATATGGCTTAAATGATATAGGGCTTCAAAATATGATTTAGGCTATATATTTTTTCATTAAGGGGTATTGGGGTCTCTGGGATCTGGGTATGCCACGGGCTTCGTCGCCTCCAGAGCTCCCGGCTCTTAGTTTTACCCTTCGCAGGCTCAAGGCAACTCTTCTCTCGATGGGGCTCCAGATCGATGTGGGAGTTTCCGAAAATAGGGGACCCTAATATAGGACCCTAAGTAGTAGGATCCTCATTATAAGGACCCCCAAAATATGGCACCATATTATCGGAAACTCCCATGTTGCAGAGGCAGACAGGAGAGAATTTCCGAGCTCTGAATCGCATAGTGGTCATCATACTCACGGATCGGGTGTAAGACAAGTATCCATGACAAAGTCCGTGGAGGGTTTGAGTTAGCTGCCAGTGAAACCCTATCGTGCACCTTTGGAGATCCCCAGCAAACCCCATGAGTTCGAGCCTTTCCAATGCCACGAGCGACATGCTCAGCCTTGTAGACCCGAAGCACTCAAACCCTGTAAACTAAGTTTCAAACTGCCTTAAACTATCAAAATCTCTAATCTTTCGCTGAACCCCTAAGCCTTGGACCCTAAACCATTTTTTGAAGCCACGAAAATGCCGAAGCTTCTTGGATGCCTGAGCCCAAATCAGGTCGTTGGTTTCGTGCTCGGGCTCATCTGGATCACTGAGCTGATGACACCCCGCTTGAAAATACCGAGTTGAGGCTTACAGGCTTCAGGGCGTTAGGGCGTTTCAATGCGCTTCCAAAAGGGCTTCTAGAAACGAGGGTTTCTATGTGGGGTTACTCTGCATGGTTTTGGGACTTTAAAACCCTGCTATTTGGGCACTTGGACCGTACATCCGAAACCCTAAACCCGACGATCTGGCTACTTGGACCCTCTGCTTGGAGGGTCGGGGGACTTAGTAACTGGTTATTTTAGGGACTTTTAAGTACCATAACCCCAATTAGGGTCCCTTTTAGGGTACTTATAAGTCTACTTACTACCTACTTAATTACTAAGTCCCCCGACCCTCTGGGTACACCTTAAAGTCGGAGATCTCCCCAGCTTCTGGCGCCAGGTAGGTTCTTAGATAGCTAGATATAGATAAATACAAAAACACATAGACAAACATGCGCATCTATACATGTATTTATGTGTTTGGCTGTGTCTTTCGTTCTTGCTTTTTTGCTATCTTTCTTCATATAGTTGATTATTCGCTGTATTATGTGCATGTAGTTGCAGAAAAATACGAAAAACGAACAATTATCCGAGGATTGCCGTGGGCCAGTTCGTCGTGAGCTTCTGCGTCTGCAGGCCAGAGGTTAGGGTTCAGGGTTGTATGTCTTGGTTTCTTTTATCACCCAGCTGTTCACTCCTTGGTGCTCCTGTTATCTAGTCTTAATCTCAATTTTTGAAGAAGTTGTTGCCCTCTGGAGTTTGGGCAGCAAGATATTTACATGCCTCTAAGCCCTACCTGAACCCTATACACTTACTATTCAGGGTTAGTCATCATGATTTCCTTTTATAAGGCCTGCGAACCCTAGACCCCAAACTCCCGAACCCTAAACCCAGAACTGAGTTTCAGTGTGCAGTGATCAGCATCTAGGACCCATGGTAAGCCCTTATTCCCTTTTTTTTTTTATAACACCCTTTCTACCGAAAAGGGTATCCCTTTTTATTCCTAGGTTACTCTTACCTAGTAGGCCGAGGGGTTCAGGTGGTCCAGGAACCGGCCCCTGAGTTCTTAACTCGAGACCTGTTGGGCTTACAAGACTTGGGCTTTTTTGTCATTTTGCGGAGCAACATCCGGCAAACGATGCTGTCAATTCTTAAGCTCTCCGATGGGTAAGTCTCAACATACATACTTGGGCTTCTTTATGAAGCCGAGCAGACAGAAGCATTGCAGGTCGTTGGCCCGATAGGTTTGCTAGTTTGCTTTTGTCTCGGTCTTGAGGTGCCAGGATTTGAGGTTTCCTAGGCCATACAGCCACCATGGGTTTCGAGTTCGGGTGACAGGAGACTTGACAAAACAAAGTTCAGAGCTGGCAGTAGATTGTCGAGACTGCATGCCCAAGCCCAAAGACCCGGGGCATAAAGATGCGTTTTGTTCAAACCCGAAGCCCTATGCCCGAAACCTCGAAACTCTAAACCCCAAATCCCAACAATATACCTAACCCTAAGGGTCCATGTGCCCATGTAGTATACACTTTGGCGCTGAAGTCCCAATAGGCAGTTTGTATGCTTGAGGGTGTAAAGTTGACAGCTTTCAGGTTCTTGGGTTGAGTATTCTGTTTTTGTATGTAGGGGTCTCAACTGCATTCTGCGGCACAGGTGGTTCTTCGTTGAAATTGGGCGGCTGGGCTGAGAGATAGTTGAGGACGACTTAAGGATTTAAACGCCTCCCTGCCCAGATCTTCCAATGTCCCTGGATTTAAAGGAATATGCCACTACATTACAATCATATAGTAGGCTCCCCAGTATGATTTAGAGTATATTCCTACTTAAGGGATTTTGGAAGATCTGGGTGCTCGTCATGTTGCCGGAAGTTCTGAGCCTCTCGGATTTCGTAGGCCCTGCTTGGTAACCCCTTCTAAACCGCTCCTGATCGCTATTAACATGAGAAGCATGATTGTAATAATAGTTGTAGTGTTATTAGTCTTATGGTTTTCTAAAAATGTAGGAACCTGATTAAGAAACCTTGGGCCTTAACTGGGGTTCCTCGTATAAATCTTACTATTTTGGTGTTCTCGGCCTAGGGTCCCTCGATCAGGTTCCTACATTACCAGTCCTTGAAAAGGGTCGGATGTGGGAGTTTCCGAAAAAAGGCGACCCTAATACAGCAGCCCAAAATAGTAGGATTCTTATTACATAAGGGCCCCAAAAAAATTATAACGTACCCCTAATTTTAATTTTCGGAAGCTCCTATATGTGGAGCTGGTTCGATGATGTTTCGCTGGCTGGATGGTCAGAGCTTTTACCCCAGAGCCCTCCCCATGGGCTCCATGGTAGTTCCTTGCTGGGAGCGCCTTATAGGGTTCTAGATATGAGCCACAAAAAGGAACTACTATGGAGAGTCTAGGTAGTCTCGAGGTACCCAGGGACTCCAAAACCCCTAAATTGTGGAAGTTACAATGACTATACCTTAGATTACAGAAGGAGCCTTCGTAAGCCGGTGTAGTCCTTGAACTCCAGGGTTTTAGAGTCTCGAAGGAGGGCTTTCAGGATGCAGGGCTTGGCTTCTTACAGTGTTGCGGTGGGCATTGTTGTTGTTGCTCCAGCATTCCCTCCACATACCTGTGTCCGTTAAACCCTAGCCTTCTTTAGCAATGATATATATAAAAACATACTAGGAATACAACAAGTGCTACTACCATAATTAAAACTGCGAAATGAGACTTGCTGGTCACGATGCAGCCCACCAGACCAGGCTGCAGGCGAAAAGGAGGGACCCTCAGACTAAGAGAGGCGGATCTAGATCTACTCGGGTGCCTTGCAAAATCCCCAGGCTGCCGAACCCCCAAACCCCATGACTCATGACCCACACCGTAGAAAATCAAAAGCCCTCAATCCCTCATCCTTACCTCAAGTCCCTAAACCCTGAACCCTAAACCCCTATAGAAGCCCCAAATCCTAAGCCCTGAAACCCCTAAACCCTAAACCTTGAAACCTCTACAGCCAGCAGCTCAGGGAAGAGAAAGAAGAGGCGAAGCATGAGAAGAAGGTGGAGAGCAGCTCCAAGGCATCGTCAAGAGCTGGGCGATTGAAGCTTAGGGTTTAAGGTTGAGGGTTTAGGGTTTCAGGATTGCCCCCTGAACCGGTAAACCCCAAACCTCTCAACCCTAAAGCTTAGTCATGGGACACCCCAAGCCTTCCAGTCTAAATCCTACACCCTGATTGGTTTTAGGCACCGCTGAAGCTGTTGAGAGATCGAAGGTTTGGCTCTTCAGAGTTTTGGTTGACCTGCGCCCTGTCATTCTAGGGCTCCTGAATATGAATTTGATATGTACGTCCTTAAAAAGTAGGTCATTCAGGGTCCAGGTACCCAGAGACTCCAGAATCCCTTTATTAAGGAATATACCTTAGGTGACCATAGGAACCCTTGCATGATTTAAGAACACTTCCTCAATTAAAGGGTTTGCGAGTCTCTGGGTAGGGCTTATGATTTTAGGCTTGCCGATGTGCGGTTGGGGGGTGCAGGTTGTGGGCTTCAGAAGGCCCACGTCCCGTTTGCAAAGGCGTGCTAATTGGGAGATTCCACGTGGAGGGTCGGGGGACTTAGTAAATGGTTATCCTATCGACTTAGAAGTATTTACATGTAAGTATCATAACCCCAATTAGGACTCCCTTTAGGGTACTTAAAAGTCTACGGAAGCCGTCAGGCCTCCGCCAGCAGCCACAGCCACGGACACCGCGTGGACAACCTTCAGAACCGCGGCTTAGGGGTCAGAGTTGCATGGTTTGGGGCCTAGGGCATTGGGGCATCAGGGTTCAGGCTTTAAGTTTAGAGTTTACCATATGGGGCCTTAATAATTACCAATACTATTTTGGGGGGTCCTTCTTATAATTCTATTATAATGGGCCCCAAAACCCTACTCTAATTATGAAGGCGCCTATATCAGGTTTCTGGCTTTGACTAAATCCAACCTTGGACCTGAAACCCCAAACGGGATTCTGGGACTCATACTCTCGGCTCAACTCCGGTTCTATCATGCTACTTCGGCCGTAGGGTTTCGGGTTAAAGCCTCACACGCCTGAAAGAAGAGGGCACAGAAGCCTCAGAAGGCCTAAGGCCTCGAACCCATGACCCCTAAGCCTCCGAAGTCTAGGATCCCTGACTCCCCAAACCCTGTAAGCCTGAAGACGATCCCACACGCCCTAAACCCTAAACCTTAAAACCCTAAACCCTAAAACCCTAAACCCCCAAGCCCTACACCCTCTTCAATTCGATTATGCTTGTCCCCATATCACCAGAAGAGCCGAGGATCAAAGGTGGTCCGGCCAGTGGCACTTATTCAGGCGCCGACTCGGAAAGCCATCTGGAATTAGGGGCTGAGGGCTTTGTAGCTGCATGCATACATTGCATACCTTGCTTGCATACATACATACATACATATAACATGTATGTACCCATTCATACGCATAAAAGTATGTACCCACGCAGGGGCACAGACAGCTACACAATCACATGCGCATGCATGTATTTATGCATACATATCTACATATGTATGTACATGTATGCGTATGTGTATATATATATATATATAAACATATATGGTTGTCTGTCTGTGTGTGTGCAGGTGTGTGACATTGTGACCAGCATACTCGAATACAAGAGGGTTTAGGGTTTTAGGGTTTAGGGTATTGAGGTTTAGGGTTTAGGCGTTTTAGGGTTTTAGGGCTTTGGATTTAGGTCTTAGGGTTTCAGGGTTTAGGGTTTTAGGGCTTTGGGTCTAGGGGTTTAGGGTTGTGGGGTTTGGGGTTTAAAGTTTGCGAATGTTCACCCGAAGAGTCGGCACACCCTGAGCCGCGGGGCGAACCCATGTTGTCTAGTTGTTACCCTAGACCCTAAAATTTGAAGATCTTGCATTTTTGGTAAACCAGGAGTTTTTAGACTTTACAAAATTTAAAAAACTATAAATGTTTAGTTTCGGGGCTATGCCAAGGTTTGTTCTCCAGGTTCTACGCTTTTTTGGGGGGAATGCCCAAACCTGCAAGCCTGTGACCTTACAACTCCGACACCCCCTGCCGTGCCATGAGCTTCAGACCCTGTAACACTGTATTGCAAACAAAGCAAATTTGACGGACAAGGCGCCTGATTAAGTGCCACGACCTTGAAGGGTTGCAAGCTGCAATTCCTGTGGTCGCAGGGAGGCTGACATCCGATGCGCCCCTGGCTTGCATGCCCGGTCTGGCTTCCTGGCCTTTGATGCAAACTTCGCACCCGTTTCCACACAAGCTCGCTGGTAGCTTTGAGCACGAACTGCGCTTCATGACGGCCTCTTTCCTGCATCTGCGTGCTTTTTTTGAGTGGTCCGGCGAAGATGCTGCAGGAGCTCTTTCCATATAAAATGTTGCAAGCCGGCGACTGCCACAGAGTCTTGGAGCATGGCTGGTTCTTGAAAGCTCGGCTGCCTGGAGACTACAGAATCCCTTCAACCCCAACCTCTAAGCCCCTAAACCCCTGAGCCCAAAGCTCCTAAACCAATACTAAACCCTAAAATCCTAAACTTAGAAAAAATGTTTGAATCTTAAGCCCGATATCCCAACCCTAAGCCCTCAAGGCTGTTTGCCTCAAGCCAGCCCCAATGCCGACCCTCGTAGAAATACTACAACTAGGACCCAGAGTAGGCCCTTATTCCCTTTTAACGGTCCAGGTTCCCTTATAAGCAGCTTTAAACCAAAAAGGGCACCCTTTTTATTCCAAAGTGACTCTTGGGTCGAGTAGATATACTACAAGTGATTGCACGCAACAATACTGATAACATAGCACGAATAAGATACAGCGAAGTAGATATTACAACATCATTAACTAGAACTTCAAGCTCGAACTGTTGTCGTCATCATGTTGATTGAAGGCAGTATTCTGAAGAGCACGAATAATTTCAGTAATGTTCTCGAACATTGTGAACATGAAGGCTAAAGAAAACCACTAGCAAAGCTGCTACTTGGAACTATTGTGGCAGTTTGAGCAATAACCACCATCGCACTATACCTAAACCCAGAGAGTACGGAACAGGAAGTGGGCTGGTTCTTAACGGTTGAGCCACTCAACATCTTAGCTGTAAAGCGCTCTGAGGGATTTGGTTTCTTGTTTATAACTTCAAAGGATTATTAGCCCCAGACCTTGAACCGATAAAAGCTGACCCTAAACCGTATCGGCATATCATGGTTCAATATCGGGTGCTTTCGAATGAAGCGGCTCGGTGGCAGGTGTCGTAGAAACAGACGAGAAGGGCACGAAGAGGACCGGCTTCGTTCCCGTACTTAGGGTTCAGGGTCCAGGTTCCCATTTTCAACCACTACATCCCCGTACATACTAGTATGCCTGAAGCCCACAGACCAAATCATAAACTAGACAACACCCGAAACAAGGCGAACATCGCTAGCACACTTTGCATGATATTCGAAAAGCCTGAACCATGAGTCCCAACTGCACACTATAACTCGTATCCCTAAACCCTTAGACGCTTTCCTCTGTGAGCTATGCGGGTACGGTTACACTAGGTATCGATTCGGGATAATTGTTAACTTCTCCTTATTGCGTAAAGGAGCCCTAGTTTTACATCATTTTTGGGACTGTTGAAATCTATAATTTCCCTTATTGCTTAAAGGAGCTCTAGTTTTACACAAGTTTGGGGACTGTTGAAATCGACACTTAGTACGGGGCTTTAGGGCGCGGGGTTGCAGGGTTTGGGGTCGAGGAACCTGATGTAGAAACCTTGGGCCTAAACCCCAAACTAGTAGGATTCATACAAGGAACCCTAATAAAGGCCCAAGGTTTCTTAATCAGATTCCTACACTATGAATCAAGTTTCGGTATTGGGCTACTGGTTGCGGCTGCAGGGTTACAGGACGGAGCAGGGTTTGAAGTTTAGGGTTTTCGGGTTGGGCCCAGGGTTTGTCCTCCTTCGGCATATTTTGCGCTTGACTGACACCGATGTGCAGGATTTGCCTTCTTAGTTTCTTCGGCACCCTGCCTTGAATCTGAGCCTAAAACCCTCAAGGCTTAAAGTCTCACGGTACAATGCATGTGCCCCATGACTGCCACAGTCGTTCTTTGTTTCAGCCAAGTAGTTTACAGTCTGAGCCTCTTTACCCTCATTGGGGCTGTCCTGTGTGTAACATCCGATTTACCAGGTCGCATGAGAGAATTGGCAGCTCAGCTTCAAGCTACTCACCCTCATTCAAACTTATCTAAACTCTGAGCCCTACCCCGCCCCCCAGTTTTGGCAGGTTGGTCGTCGACATCTTCGACAAAGGCCCAGATGATAAACCGATGAAACCCATAGCCTCGCGTCTGCAGTAGAGCTGGGATACGGGCTAAGTGAACTATTGGTATTCTGTTCTTGTACATCAACTATGTATGCATGTGTATATGTTCGTATGTATGTATATGTATATATATATATGTACATTCGAACTTCCTTCTTTTACATGACAGTGTAGGATTTAGCGCCGAAGCTCGGAAGTTGCAACATGGAACAGAGAGGTATTGTGCTAGGCTATCTAGCTGTTGCAGGTTGTAGGACCGAAAGATAGCAACCGTTTTGGCGTTACTAGTGCATTAGCAATGCTCGAAAGGCAAAGACTCATCATGCAGTTCATACTTTGGCCCACCAGGGTTTCCCTCTGTTTTTCCTACCCTGGGGCTGCTGTTGTCCTCGCCATCAGGGTTGCCTCAGTCTTGGATGAAATGATGAGTCCCATGGTGTGGTGATGCGAGATGCAGTGAGCAGCGACCAGGGTGTCTGAAAGTGCATTAATTAAGATGAGACATTCTGTCAGGTGCTACTCAAAGGGTCGGGGGACTTGTTAAGTAGTGATCTTATCGACTTAAAAGTACCACAACCCCAATTTGGCCCCCGCTTAGGGTACCTAGAAGTCTTTTCAGTATCTACTTGCTAAGTCCCCCGATCCCCCAAGTAGGGTTTGCAATCTAGCCTTTCTCCCTGGCTCTCAGCAACGGATGCTGCCGGAAAAGGCCTTCCAAGAAAGACGATCGTCATGTCAAAGCCCCTTGAAAAAAGGACCTCTTGCAACGAGTAATCCCTGAAATGACACATAAAACAAAAGGAAAGCCTGGGAACTTCAATCCGAAACAGAACACCGTGAAAGGCTCAGGGTTGAGGGTTTGAGGGTTTGAGGTATAGGTTGTAATATCTCTTCCCCTCATTGCGGTTCCGGTAATATGAACAGAAATGGAAAATCGGGAAAGCCCAATGTGACTGTTACGAAGACAAGTGGATCCCGCTGCCCATATCGTACCTTCCAAGGCTTATGAGAATAAGCCTCACGAGTGTTCCTGGATTTGCGAAGCGCAACTCGGCTCGTTTGTGGCATGTCAGGTTTCAGGGTTGTCAAGGGGGCCCTACCCCCACTCAGCCAGGTGGTATAGACTAGTAGACTTTCACAGAAATGCGCTTATAAGACCTTTATTTACCTTACCTGTATACGTCTATGTAGCAGCACTGACATACACCCCAAAAGCCCGAAATCCCAAAACCCTAAACCCCAAACCCCAAAGTTTAAAACCCTTAGCGTTTCAAGAAGGGTTGTTCGACAGATGGGTACATCCGTAAAGGGTTAAGTCTACCACTAACCATCCCCCCTGCATGCCCTGCCTACACTGCCTGAACCCGAACCCTAAACCCCGAAGCTTACCCCCGCCCCCGAGCCGCCCTTGAACCGAAGTTCCGATCCAGGATGTCTTCAGGCGCTTTACAGTCGGGGTTGTAAGAACAAGTGTACAATCTACAGCGTCAGAGACTGCATAATCGGTCAGTACATGAGAACGTAGGTAACTGTATGTTCTTCGTCTTTTTCATGCTGGGTTTAAGCGCAGTTCGTGTTGAGACGTATGGCTGCACACTTCCGACAGTTGGCACATTATGTAAGCTGCTCGCGGTGCGGTTTGACCAAGGGCCCTATGAGTAAGATTGCAATGACAACCGCACGACCGTGTAAGATTTCATCATTGATATTTTTAATCAATCCATGCTTGCTGCCGAAGGTGTTGTCATCAGTTTACTGTTCATGTTTGCCGTGACCTGTTCTGGGAGAGCTTATTGACCGAACAGAATTAGGGACCCAAAGGCACACATGGGTGGTGTATATGGGATATCCCTGTCCTTCGTTTTGCTTATGTGCTTTTGTGGGGCCCCTACTACAGAAACGAGTGCTCGGCAATACTCCTTCTATTGCACAGCATACCTGTAGGCTCATACCCTACCCCTTTTTTGGGGTATTCACTTTTCTATGTAGCAGATCCTAACCATAAAACTAGGAATCCTGAAAATCCGGCACGGTAAGAGCCTCTAGGTACGCTTGCAAACGAAATGCTGCGACCTTGGGGACTCGCACCTAACGCCCAAGCCCCTGAACTGTCCATGTCCTGAACGAACAGCGGCAGCTGGCACCTGCGTTTGACTTTAGGCTTTAAGACTGTTGTGGACATGTCGAGTATCACAAAAAACAATCGGGTAACTATCTGACATGTGTAATGACATGTGTTTACACAGAGATATATATATATATATATATATATATGTATATATATATATATATATATATATATATATATGTATGTATGTGTGTGCTTCATATGTAAGGCGAGTTTACTCATGTGTATAGTGTGGGTGTGCATGTACACAGAAATATATGCAAAACATGCATGCGTACTTATCTCTGAAGTCTGAATAAGAACCAACAACAAGCCTTCTGCCTGAGGTATTTGACGGCCTTGGGGCCCTGCATTGGCACGCTCTTGCGCTTCTGCTGGCCTGTTTGCCTTACCCGGCCGCTCCGAACCTCGCCAAAAATCGGTTTACTAGGACCCAGAGTAGGCCCTTATTCCCTTTTCCAGGGTTCAGGTTCCCTTATAAGCCCCTGCGAACCAAAAACTGGCACCCTTTTATTCCTAGGTTTCTCTTGGGTCTAGTTTAGGGTTTAGGGCCGGGTTTCGGGGTTTAAGGTTTGAGGTCTTCGGGAAGACTTTGGGCTGGGGCCTTGTACACAAATCAAGCCTCACGTGGGAGCCTTGTCAGATCGTGCCAAGATAGACTATGTGAAGAAAACACCATACCGCTCATGTAGCCGGCTTCGCTGCAGCTGTCCATGTTTATGAGTTCGGGACATCGAGAAGTGTGGTGGCTTCGGGGTGCTACTGACTACTGATGTAGACTTTCTGGCAAGGAGGGTTTTTCAATTGTCACAAGGCCCCGGCTTTTGAGAATGTGGAACCGTACCTTAAGCTACCAAACCCTACTAGCTTTTGGTAGATTAAGTTAGGAGCTTAGGCTGTCTGTTTCCAGTTTGGGTGTTTGTGTGTTTCTTTTCCTTAGTAGTGCTTCAATCAGAAGGTTCAGCATCCCGAAGCTTACATCCTACCCGAGCCCGAGGAAACTCCCTTCTCAAGGGCTTTTTCAACCTGCACTGAGCCTTAGCCAAGAGCCGAGCCCAGGCGTCTTGTCGGAGGTGATCATGCCACTTGCACAGCACCAGGGGTCTCCTAACAGAGCTGGGGGTGCTCTGAGAGCTTCTGGAGAGCCCAAACCCACCCTAAACCCTAGGGTGTAGGGTTTGGAATTCAAGGCCAGTTTAGGGAAGACTGAGCTGAGGTAACTGGGGCTGTTTACAGCACGGCTTAGTCCTAGAGAGCCCAACACCGCACCCATTCATTGCGGAATAGACCTTGAGCCATAGGGGCCTTGTTATTCTGGTTGAGGTATTGGTTTTTCCCTTGTAAGGGTTATTGGGCTCTCTGGTGTAATTATTTGAGCATAAACCTGGAAGAATTGTACTTCAAATCACGGGTACATTCGGGTGGTTGTCAAAATTATGGTCCGTTCTTGGGTCCTTAATATAATACGGGGCCTAGTATTTATATAAGGTACCCCAAAACGGGACCCTAATTTTGACAGCTACCCATTCCTTAAAAAAGGGGTCTTGGGATCTCTGGGTTCGTTTGTTTCCGAAAATTAGGGATACCGTATTTTGGGGTCCTTATAATAAGGATCCTACTACTTAAGGTACTATATTGGGGTCCCCTATTTTCGGAAGCTCCCATTTGCAGGATTGTTTGCGACTTAATTGGAGTTATCAGTAATGATAAGTATAAGTATAGTTGCCTCAGTTATAATGCTAGTTACTAAGTCCCATGACCCTTTAAGGAGGTTTCAGGGATTTAGGGCTTGGGGGAACAGGGGTTGAGGGCTTAGATTGCAAAGCCCGAAATGCAAACACATTCAGTCCTTGACACGGCATTCCATCTACTTCCCATAAACCCCAGCCCTCTAGCTTTTTGCGCAGCACTCCCACTAATTAAGCCGTGTGAGCACTGAGCTTTGACAAAGGTTTCTGACCACCCCGGCAGCGACGAAGACGGAGCGCAAAGCTTTGACGGACGATGACGAGGTCCGGCAACGTATCTATTGCTCGTTTCGGAATGGTGTGCTGCCTGGGCGGCGAAATTCGAAACTTAGGGGATTTGTTTTATTTTCGTTACCAAATACTGGGTTACTGTGGTTACATGTTCTGTGGTTAGTAGCCTACATAGCACCTGCTACCTCCAAAGCGCCGAAATACTTGAGAATCATGTGCTGCCTAATTGCCCCCGAGACAAGGCTACCCCGTAAGCCCAAGTGCCCTTTCTATTGCTTTGTGCAACCAGTGAGGGTCGGGCACTTTGATTTAGGGCTTTCAGGGTCAGAGACCTCTGATCCAGAACTTCTACTGTCGCGCGAACTGTAACGGAGCCACCATAGCCCGGCTTGCTGAATCCCAACAGCCCAAAAAAGTCGTCGAACAAAACATCTCTATCCATGGCATCCCTGAGGATTCGGCCGGGGTTTGGTGAGTGTAGATCCGGCATCCTATATGGTGAGTGTGCATGTCGGGTTCCTGTCTGGGGAGCCTAGGGCCTAGCCTAGGATGCCTAGTAGTAACCTTTTTCCCTTTTTGTAGTCCTAGGTTCCCTATAGAGTCAAGAAGGGAGCCCTTTTTATTCCTTGGTTTCTAGCATCCGAATAGCAGTGAAGACAAGATGAAACTTTGGCCTGGACCCTGAAGATAAAAAGCCTGAGCCCTTCTACATCGGACATGAAGCGATCCAAACCCCAAAAAAATCCCAAGTCCTGTGCCGCATACCCTACACCCTAAACCGTAAATACTCAAAACCGTAAGTGCTAAATCCCTCTAAATGCAAAACCCTACGGCCTAAACCCTAAGCCCCATACCCAGAGCCAAAAAAACTAAATCCTAAACCCTCAGCCTCAGCCCTGAACTGTTAAACCCTACAGTAAATCCCATAACGTTGGAAACCGGATTAAGGTCAAAGAGTGCAGGGATTCCTTATACATTAGTCTTAAGGATTCAGGCTCTTGGGTTTCCAACTTTTAGGCTTCTACTATAAATTTCAATCTCGAAGGTCTGAATCAACCCTCATAAATGCTAAATTTCTAAACCCTGAGCCTAAGCCCTGAACTGTTAAACCCTAAGTAAAAGCCAGAAAGTTGGAATATGATTATCCTAAACCCTTTTGGTAGATTACAAGGTATCCTACCCTGAAACCATATTCCAACTTTCTGGACTTCCCTTTATACTATAACAAACTCGTCGCTGGGATTCAGGACGACCGAAGCGTTTGGGGACTCCTCGCCGCAGCAGGACCGGGCCGAGAGTCCTTTGTGGAGGAGTTTGGGTAATTTATAAGTTCAGACTTTAGGGTTTATAAGGGCTTGGGGTTTAGGGTTTAAAGTTTAGGGTTCAGGGTTGAAGGTTTAGGGTTAAAGGTTTAGGGTTTCGGGCTTATTCCAAGGGGTCATTGAACGCAATGTTTTTGTGACGGGCTTGGGGAGCCTAGACACCCGATCTCGTGACTTATGGTTTAATCTTTCGGTAATGGATCTCCAAGGTGTTGAGGGTTTTAACGCCACGCCGCCCGCCACGGCTTGGGCAGAAAGGGGGGGGGCGCTGGGGGAACGGGTGTCGCGACAATTTTGGACTGCAGGGAGGAGGATCAGGTGGAGGGTACCAGAGTTAACCCCCAATACGCCTGGGCCTGCGGCCTCGGCGAATTATCAAGGCGCCTATATTAGGGAATGGAACTTCCTGCAGGTTGATGGGCATAGTTGCTTGTAAGTTCTCACCTGAACCTAGTGGGTATGATACGGTAGTTCTCCACAATCAGGGTCCCGTTTTAGGTTCCCGAAACAGTACGGCACGCTTGTAAAAAGTGCCCTATAAGGGAACCTTCTGTAGAGAATTACGTATATGGCTCCTTGCTGTAGGAGACATTCCTGGCTGCCCTAACAGTCCACCCAGAGAAGCCAACACGCCCTTGAGTAATGAATTTAGTTCAAATCTTAATATGAAGCCCAATATAGTCTAAGCCATATTCTTTAATTAAGGGGGTATTGGGCTCTCTCGGCATGTGCCCAAGTAGTACATGATTGGCTTAAGGGCCAAAGTACACATGGACCCTTAGGGGTACACGGCTGTCTGGAATATCTTGGTCTTTTTGGATGATCAGTACAGGAAGTAGCCGTTGTTGATTAAGTTGATTAAAGTTATCATGTAAGGATGTTTTCGATTCTCGGTTGCTTTTTCCCTTCGCGCTTCGACAATCACTGTGAAAAAGTTCATGGCGAAACTCCACGACCCTCCCAACAGTGCTCTAAACCCTAAACCGTAAACCCTAAACCCCCTAAACCCTAAACACTGCTCGGTCCGGCTGCACCCACACACCTTCGTCTAGCATGGCAGGGCCAGACACAAGTTGGGCAGCAGGTTTGAGAACCACCCCCCAGAGCCTCCAAAACCCCTTAATTAATGAATATACCTTAAATCATATTAGGGATCCTATTATAGTTTATAAGGTATATTCCTTAATTAAGGGATTTTGGAGGCTCTGGGCCCCCACTAATTGGGCTCCATGGGTGTCTAAAACAAAAACCGAACATCGCTGAAGGCAGTGAATGCCCAGAGGGTCTTCCTGGAATTCTCTGAAAGTCGCTGCAAACGTTGAGACCGTAACCTCAAGCCCTAAACCTTAGTAACCTTACCTCCGTAAGGGCCTTGAGTCCCGGAGCCCTTCCCTCCCCATCGCATGACCAATATCGAAGCCTGAATGGCAAGTAACCTGTGGCCCGAAAATCCTAGCAAGCTGAGTTGTTTCTGCTACAGGAATACTTTGCCCTGTCTATCCCTGAGCGTATTAGAAAAAAGTGTGCCCCAAAGCCCCATCTTTCTAATCATTTTGGCCTTTATCCTAAAACACTAAACCTTAAACCATAGTCGCACCAAAAGCGAGCATTATGGAGCCCCCCTAAACCGTAAAATAGAAGTTTAAAACAAATCAGGGCAAGTATATTATCCTCGGAAGGCGATCTCTTCGCGAAAGCCGTCACCCACGAGTTTGGCGGCCCCGGTGCCAAAACAGAGCATACATCCGTAGGTGGAAAATCATGACATCTATTATGTTTCTGTTTGTAGTCTTTCGCACTCGCATACCATGATACAGCGGGCTTGTGGAAAGCATGTCAACATCTAGTACGCTCGTGCTGTTGGCTCTTATTCTTCGCATTTTCATACAGTTGTACCGGCGTTTCCAAAATCCTTTTGGAGCTGTTTCATTGCAGGGCTCAGAATGTTGCGGTTGAAGATGTTCTTATGGTTATATTATGGTTTAGGATTCAGGTTAGAGCGGGTGTATGAGCTCTTGGAGGATCTGTCCGGGCATTGGCGGCGGGAAGACTCTAAAGACACACTGCCCAAAATGTGTTTTATAGTACCTTAACCCCCAATCCCTGAATACCCCTCCCCCACAGAATTTTGAGGGTTCAGGTTCCCGTATAAGCCCCTTTAAACCAAAAAGGGCACCCTTTTTATTCCGAGGTTACTCTTGGGTCTAGAAAGGGTGCATGCCTCGTAGCACTCCGCTTAACCTAGCACCCCAAGTTGGGGTCTCATGCTCATAGCCCTCTTTAGAGCCAGCTCGCTAAACCTTAAACCCTAAACCCATAACCGTGAAGCCCAAAGTCAAGGCTCGGCTTAAAGGTAACAGGTGAGAGTTTATGCTTTCGGGTTTAGGGTTCAGGGCATCGGGTATACCCTAAACCCTAGCTAAGTCTCCTGATCCTCCTCAGCAGCTGCTCTACTCAGGTTACAGCAAGGATGCCTTTGTGGATCTTGTTCTCCGTGATGTCAACTTCGCTTCGGCATCTCGTGACGTTCATGCGACCTGGCAGTTATAGTCACGGAGATTTGTCGAAGGGCTTAGTGTGGGTCTGGAAGACTGAGTACAGAGTACCACCTCCTGACAGTCCCTATATAGCTATGGTATCATTTATTCAGAATGCGGGGATTAAGATGTATCCACTAAGAGGGCTTCCGGAAAAGAGCAAAGTTTGTAGCATTTGGGTACTTAGACCTGTGGGTTTGGGCTTCCGCCGTCAGGGCGGGCCTATCATTTGAACTTGTGTTTGGGGGGAGTATATAATATAGGGTGCAGGGTTGATAGGACTGCTGGTTTGGGTCCCAAACCCACACGCCCGGAACCAAAAACATCGTCCGGCCCCAAGCCACGCACTGATGAAGGTCGGAGTAAGAAGGCTCGCTAATATTATCTGCTACAGTTCCATAGTTCAAGCATGGTGTATAACATACCCCAAACCCTCCAATGAACAAGGTCCCTCCTAAAGATTCAACCCCAACGAAACCCTCTGTTCAAGATCCCTATCCCCGATCAGGACTTAAGCTTCTGGAAACCTGAAACCCTGACCTGCGAGGACTTCATCCAAAAGTCCGGCGGCGTCGTCGCCTTCCTTCATGGGATGACTCGTTGGCCGATCTGCATTTCGCTAGGATTTGTGGTGCTCGGCGTTCAGAGGTCTATAAGGTCCAGGGCTTGGGGGTGCTCCTGTTTCAGATTGTCGGAGGTAAAAAGTAATTCGGGTTTGAGATTTTTTTTGAAGGATGGTGTAGTCTCGAGAGGCTGAGGGATTCGTGATCAGGGCTGAGGGTCAGAGAGACAGATAGAGAGAGCTAGAGAGAGAGAAAAGCTGGGGATCCGTCTATCCCAGGTTCAGTCGGCAACGTAAGATCCGGCCGCAAATCCTAAGGCTTTACACATAGACATCTAGAAACAGAGCCTTAAAGTGACTCTAAGCCCGAAACACAGTGAGCCTTATATCATCTCAATCCTGGCCCTAAGCTCTGCGAACCCTCAGTCACTGGACCCAGGCTCCTGCCCGGTTCTACCTTCAACCCTATGTCGGCTAATCCCGGCACCGAAACAACTGCCAATAGTATTCTGGTTTCCTTACTATAAGCATAGTATAATGGTCACCCCCGTCCGAAAACACACACACACAAAACAGACACAACCAACACACACACACACACACACACAGACACACACACACACACACAGACACACACACACACACACACACAAAAAAAAAAAATAAAAAAAACTTATTCCAATTATCAAGGCCCTATACCAGGAAGCCCGATGCTTGAGCCCCGACCTAAAATCGTTCCATCACGGCTGTCTTGCAATCCCAACATGGTTGATGATATAAATCCTGCATTACCCATAATAAGGAGTATACCATCATTCCATAGTTTTGGGTCCTTAAGGTAATGCAGGATTTATGTCAGCAACAACAGTTTAGGGGTTTCAGGCTTAGGGGTTTGTTCAGGGATTTAGGGCAGGTCCTTAGATCAAGGCTTTCCGCGCTTTAGGGCGTTGTTTTTTCTCATTTGTTGCTGGCCTCTACCATAAGAGCTGTATACCAGAGACGCTCGCCCTGAGTCCTACCGGAACGCTCAACCTTTCCACCAAGGCTTCTACGAGATCATCTCTACATGCTTCATTATGTTCATTTCCTCCTTCCTGGGCTTCGTGGCGGGCGGCCCAGGAAAGGGCTTTAAAGGAGTCTTGTCGGGCTTGTTGGGAGGGTTTGGGGCGTGTTGCCCAGTGCAGGTAGAAGTAGTCCTGATTGGGTGTCCTGCGGTGCCACATATTGCCGTTATTCCGGAATCCCTATGAACTCCCTGTAAGATCTTATTGAAGAATCAAGTCCTTCCAGCCTACTTACGTTCCCCCCCGAGTTCCTCACGGTTGAGGTTGTTTCAGTTTAAAATTCACCTAGGCTACACCATGTTACACCCTAGGCCCTGAATCCTGCTCCCTAAGTGATGCCCATGATTCCCTAGACGCTGCTAATATGATGCCAAAAACTTCCGACAGTGGGCAATCACCAGTATTCAATTTGCTGCTCTCCTGTCTCCAAGTTGCTCCCTTCGCCTTAGCACCTCAGTAGCTCACATTTATCCTTCTGGGGTTTATATGGGAGTTTCCGAAAATTAGGGGTACCATTTTGGGGGTCGTTATAAGAGGGATCCTAGTATTTAGGGTACCACATTAGGGTCCCCTATTTTCGGAAATGCCCATATACGTCAACCATGGTTGAGGGAGGTTTATCTTTTTTGGGCTGGGGTACTCAGCCCCTCAGTCGACCTCACGCTTCTGGCAAGTGTTGCAATTACGACGGACGGGGATAAGAGTTTTTGTGGCAAGAGGACGCAGCTCCCGCAAGCTCCCGCACCTTTCAACATACCACTCTCCCATAGTCTTCTTAGGACTGGTTTCTGTTTCGTTCATAGAGAACCCAAGAGAATGTTAAAACTAGTATTGTTTTCATGGTTCTAAGGGTGGTATAGTCTCCCAGTATCAGCGGGCAGATTAAAGAAACAAGCTTACCGGGGGTTGAGGGTTGAGTAGCGACGTGTCTTTAAGACCCCCTGGAAACCCCAATTCCAGGGCCGTAGCACCGAAAAATTGAAATCATTAAGCACAAACCCCCAAAACGTTAATTCCGCCTGTGTTCTAAATCGTAGACATATCCTACTCCCTCAGCCGAATACGGTCCACAACCTGAAGCTTCTAATCCCTCCTAAGCCATACAGAAAAACCTATCTAAACCTTATGACAAGCCTTATGATCCGTTAACCCGACCCCCTAAACTTGCAAGCCCAAACCATGACCCTAAACGCTAAGCCCCCAAGTCCAAGCCCTCAACCGAGGCCATGAACCATTGGTCCATCTTCTCCCACCCGGACTCTTCGTGGTATGTGGCTGATCCCTCTGAACCGTGGCTGCACACCGCTGGCCAAGGGTTCATGGGTCTCAGTTACAAATACATGCGTACATACATTGATACATACATGCATCCATGCATGCATCCATCCTTCCTTCCATCCATCCATCCGTCCGTCCATCCATGCATCCATGCATCCATGCATCCATGCATCCATGCATCCATCCCTCCATCCCTCCATCCCTTCATCCCTCCCTCCGTCCACCCCTCCATCCCGCCGTCCACCATCCATCCATCCATCCATCCATCCATCCATCCATCCATCCATCCCACCGAAATCCTTGTCAGGGCGTAAGGGTTCGGGTCGGAGGGTTTCAGAGTTTAAGGAATAGTTTCAGGGTTGCCTAGTTTGGATTTAGGGTTCGAAGTTGCGGGGCGTTTGGAACCGGGCCGGGTTCTGAGGTTCTTCGTCTTACTAGAAGACTTTCGTTCTGGTGGTTTGGGCGTGTTCAAGCGTGTTTGGCTTCAAGGCTTTGGCCGGCTTGCGACCCCCGGAAAGTAAACCTCACCCCCACACCCCAAAGGTTCAAAGTGCCCATATAGAAGACTGTAGGGTTTCTATTTTAGGAATTGCGGTTATGATTTGGGGAAGTATTTCCCATAACAATACCTAAAGGACTCTCAGGGAGAACCTGAGATCGTCATTGTCGGCGCATGAAGCTCCAGACCCCCAAAACCTCTGATACCCGGAGCCCCAAGCCGACACCCTACGCTCCCCTAAGGCTCCATGTACCCATATAGTATATACCTATATGGGAGTTTCAGAAAATTGGGGGACCTTATGTTGGGGTCCCTATAATAAGGCTCCTGCTATTCAGAGTATTATATTAGGGTCCCCTATTCTTCGGAAACTCCCATATAGGGACCCCTTTAAGGCTTAAGCACCTGCTATAACCTTACATGGAGCCTTTAGGCTCTAAGCCGGCCCTTAACCCTCGACCCTCAAGCTAGGCAGGCTTTCCTAGATGTTGCTGAGGCTGCGGATGGGAAAAGGGTCGTAAGCAGAAAACTCAAGCCGGCCCAGTCCATGCAAATCGTGTCCCTTATTATCTCTGGCATCGTGGCCTTCAGTTGGATTTCCGTATGCAGCTCGGATGCGCGAGGAGCTCTGCTTGGCGTGGATTGTTGGCCCGATAAGGGTTCCTATAAGGCGTTTGGGGTTTTGGGTTCCTCTAAGGAGGGGCTGCAGATGTCGTTTGTGGTTTGCAGAGTAAAAAGTTGATCGGGTAGCGTCGGGCTTAAGTATTTGAGGGTCTGGGGGTAATGTAGGAACCTGATCAAGAAACCTGGGCCTAGAACCCCAAAATAATAGGACTCATGTAAGAAACCCTAATAAAGGCCCAAGGTTTCTTAATCAGGTTTCTACATTACCCTAGGCTTCCAAGGACCTCTTATTTAGGGCCCTAGACCCCTTAAGGACCCAATTATAAGGTCCCTGGAGGCATAGGGTTAGGCTTGAGGCATCTGTCACGGAAGGAGGCTTGGGGCTCAAACCCAGTGGGCAGTGCGGGTGTTGAATCTAGTAGTACTGTAGGAAACCTTTAACCTTTTTTGGGTAGTATAGTCCCTATCTAATCCCTTTATAACCAAAAAGGTTAACCTGTAGTTCCCCATGATACCCGACAACTACGCTGCATCCCAAAGCCTCCGATCCTTAAGTCGGTCCGAGCCCTGAACTTTAACTTTCCCTAAGGCTCCATGTACCCATACAGTAGGTACTTAGGCCTTAAAGGGGTCCCTATATGGGTACTTTAAGGCCTAAGTACCTACTATATGGGTACATGGAGCCTTTGGGTTTTACTCCCTAGGTAGGCCTTTGGGATATTTTATATTTTCCCTTGTTGGGCTTAATAGGACCCTATCTACGAAGATTTTTCAGAGGCTTTAAAGGGCCAGCCTAGCTCCGCAACCCCACCCTCGCAACGCAGATAGCTCTCTAAGTCAGGGTCTCCTGGTCAGGGCCCGAAAAGGGACCCGAAGCTGGAGAACTGCCCTCGTAGCGGCGTTGATAGTCGTGATTTCGTATACGGTAGGATAAGTAGAGAATGGCCAGGCGGGAATACTGTACGTATTCAGACCTCTGCCTTTTGAAGTTGGTTGAAGTTCAGGGTTCGGAGTGTTGGTGCTTGGGGCTACGTGCTGGGACTACTGCTGCCCGCTTTCTTCCCGTTCTTCTTACCTCCGTATCCCTGACGTCAGGGCTTCAGGTTGAGGGGCTAGAGCCAGGACCATCGTTCCATTGTCGTGTTTCGGTGGTACTGTCGCCCGCAACTTCAACCGACAAGATTCTCTTCGACCCTGTGTTATAACCAAAGGAACCTTAAACCGTAAATCCTAGATCCTAAACCCTGACAACACTGACATAGAGACTAGAGCACTTACTTCCGGAATCGGGACCGAGCGCCCTTCGACACACGCCTCGAGACCTCCAAGCCTCGAATATGGCGGGGGTTGACAGTTGACATACTGATATGGTACGTAGTCGTGATGATATGAAGAAGACTACGTAGTCGTAAGAAGCAAAATTGACAATATCAATACAAATAGCAGAGCTTTACCAGTAGTATTAATACTACCAATACTTGTGGCAGTGTCAATGGCGACAGTACTAGTACTAATAGTACTAGTGTAGCCTTGCACTCACTGCCACGGAAAACACAACATGCAACAAAAGCCCTGTTCCAAATAGCGAGGCGCCTATATTGCGCGGGGTTTGGGGTTGAGTTTAGATTTTCGGAAGCTCGCAGTTAAACCGAATGCCTCAGGTAACAATACCTGCGACAGCAGCTGGGCCGCATGAAGCACAGCCGACACCTCGTTTTAGCGGAACCATCTCATTGGAAGCCCTTAAGTTCAAATAGGAGGAGGAAACATCCTTTTGCCTCTCTGTGTCACAGCTAATGCGTTGTTCGTCGTGTTTCGGCTCCGTCGGCAAACGCTCCTGTAGATATCGTGGTTCCCATGGTTCGCAGGGCTGGAGCTTGCCCGTAAGCTGTAGCATAGGAATTAGGATTTAAGCCAGGCCGTTTCCCGCCGAAACGGTGAAGCCAATGTTTTCTGCGTTTCTGAACCTCAGAGTCGCTTTATCTTTAGATTCTTGAAGATCCCGCTAATGTAGACCCATGCACAAAGGTTACAGGGATCCTAATATTTAAGGCTCATGAAAGAGGCAGTTTATTAATCAAGAGTCTACAGTCCGCACTGCAGCCGGCACTACAGTTTCTGAACTTTCGAAAACTTCCGTTTATAGTTTTTGCAGTTTCATTCCGTCCAATGGTTCAAAGGTGCGGGCAGTGCTTTGCTTGTGCGTGGTCAGTGGTAACCTAAATGTGGCCAGGATGCCAAACACCCTAAGTTCCCTAAACCCTAACCCCTAAATCCCTAAACCCCTAAACCCAGAACCCCAAGCAAACAAACTACAGCCTGGTCGATTCCCCAGTTGTACCCTTTTGCCCTTATCGCAGGAACAAGGGTACCCTTATTGTTACGGGGCTACAGGGGATACTAGGTTTTCATCCTGCAAAATCTCGTCCTACAATCTACAATCTGTTCCTGGATCGAGGGATGTGAGCTTCGCTTGGAGAGCCCGGAACTAAGACCCTACAGTCTGAGTTAGAATAGCCGCATGTCCTACATTAGCACACTGCCTGCGAAGCGACTGCAGTCTGGTAGAATGTTCCTCGGGAGCCGTATTAGTATTCATCTGTTCAAGTAGAAGTCTCCCGGAAAGCCTATTCTGCTAATGCGGGCCTTGTATGAATTCGGTGTAGACCTCCTCTATCGTTCCTTCGTTTTCGAGTTTACCCCCCGATCTTCAGCATGAATGAGTAGATCCCGAAACTGTGCTATGTACATCAGCAGGCCAAGCCACCCATATACAACGGATATGTATGATCCTGCTTCTTATACAAAGGTCATAAGCATTAGGAGTCTAGCTACGGGAAGCCTTTTGTTTTTTCTGGCGAGAGGCTAGCTACACCAGTAATCAATCCGAGAGCCTCAAGACTTTCAGGGGTAAAGGTTTGCGGTTCGGAGTCTAGGGTTCAAGATAGAGGAGAGGTTTTGGGGGGGATGTCAGGCCTTCTCTACGTGTTCTGCTGGACGCGGAAGCAGCCGCTTGCTGCATTTGGCAGCCCTACGCCCTTCATGTCACCCTCAGCCAACCACATGCCAGAACCCCTGAGCAGTACTCTGTAAGCCCCTAATCTAAGTTAGTGCATGTGTAACCCTCGAACCCCAAACAATCATAGAGATTCGCATAGTACCGATTCAAAACCCGACAGTAGAAGGAACAGGATCTGCTATGTACAACAGTAGGTAACCTAAAACATGGGGTAGGGTATGGACCTCTAGTTAGAAGGGACAAGCAATAACAAAAAGCAACTCACAGGTGCTTAGTATTGGTTGTCTTTTTAGTCGTTGTTTTGGTATGAGGGCTTACATGGGAGGTTCCGAAAATTGTGGGTACCTTATTTAGGGGTCCTTACAATAAGGATCCTACTATTTAGGGTCCTATATTAGGGTCCCCTGTTTTCGGAAACTCCCATATACTCAGGCTTAGGTCCCTAAGTCCGCCCAAAAAAACTGCGCACACACACACATACACACCCGCACACCACACCAGATTTTCTGGGCCTGAAGTTTCACAGTCAACGGCTTCAGTAGAAGGGCGCGAATGCAGGCTCGACGTCCCAGGTTTAGAGTCCAGGCTTTCGAATCCCTACGAGTCCATGTACAGTATATGCTATTTGGGCACATGCGCTCTTAGGGAATCTGGTTTAGAGTGTAGAGTTCAATCGAGGTTGGAGGTTTTGGCATCTAGCAGAGTTCAACCGTCAGACCGAAAAGCTTTCAGGGTTAATAGGGTTTAGGGTTTAGGGGTTTAGGGTTTAGGGTCAGGGTTTTAACATGTCCTGAAGCTCCAATCGTTCGTTCACACCTGCATGGACAAATAGCATACACGCCGCTCATCCTGAGGGTCCATGTTCCCACATAGTTCATACTTTGGCCCTATGTAGTTACCTAGGATGCCCAGTAGTACCCTTATTCCCGTTTTGTAGTCCTAGGTTCCTTATGAAGTTACCCAATACCAAAAAGAGAGGCCTTTTTATTCTTAGGTTACTGGGTATCCTAGTTACTTTAAGGCCAATGTATATACTATATGAGTTACATGGACCCTTAGGGTCAATGTAGACTAAACCTGCAGCCCATAGGCCCTCAGCCGTTACTAGAGGGGCCTTAACAATTACCTATACATTTCTATTTGGGGGTTTCTTATTAAAAGTATAGTTGAATTCAACATGCCCCAAAACCCTGTTAGAATTCAGGCCACTATATTGCCTGCAGCGAAGAGACCTACCTTGTTAGGGTTTCTTATTATGGTTTCTGTATATACAGTTCCCTAAAATGGTAGGTCTTTCCGGCTACAGGTACACGCTAAGTCATCAAACCCTGTCAAACAAACATCACGAAGTCAAACTCCTGTAATCCCGAAATCCCTACAGAACTTTAAGCCCAGGCTGACGAATGACCCCAAGTGCAAGACACTGGGCCCACTCTCGGACAAGAGGTGCAAGGACTCGGGCTCTGCGTTCACCACAACGCCCCAAAGTGTGTTCCAAGAGTTATGTTAGTTATTAGCCTTCACGGTTCCTCATTATAGCCGTGCTATACTAGAGCACAAAACCCTACACTCTAAAGTCCAGGCTGCAGCGATGTCTTTATCCTTGTTCGTAGGCATGTAGGGGCCAAGGGTCTACAACAGTGTGTTTGCTTATCGCGACTGTTTATCATGTTTATTGGTATTGTCAATACATTGTTAATTGTAATTGTTGTCGTTGTTGCAATTGTTGTCATTGTTGTCAGTATTGCAAGTGTTTTCACGTCATTGCTGTCATTGTTTACGGTTCTTGTTGCTATCCTTACTGTAGCTATCCTTACTAGTTTTAGTAGTAGTAGTAGTAGTAGTAGTAGTAGTAGTAGTAGTAGTAGTAGTAGTAGTAGTAGTAGTAGTATAACTGTTAATGCTGCTAATTATTATTATACTTGTTGTTACTACTACTACTACTACTACTAGTACTACTACTACTACTACTACTACTACTACTACTGCTGCTCCTGCTCCTGCTCCTGCTCCT